GTACAATGCATCATAACCACGACTTTAATAACTCCACTAAAACGTACATTGCCCTCCTGGATACCGTGTTAAAATATAAGGTAATATAAATCATTCGGAACCACATATAAGTTACATTAATATTTTTGTGATTGAATTCATATTTTCAGGAACGACTGTAACAAAACAAAAACCTAAAAATAGGTCAGTACCACTGTAACTTCCTTAACTTTCAAGACTTTAAGGTCCACTTCCGGACTCATTACGTGCCTCTGCATTCTTAACTTCCACCCACAGCCTGGACATAAGATCAGGGCCGGATTAAAGTATGGGCTTTAGGGGCTGCAGTACAGGGGCCTCCGCCAACTGGAGGTCCTCCAGAGATTAAGTGAAAGTGTTCACAGTTACTGCTGTCAGTTTATAATTATAGTGTGTTATTGCATCACATATATGATGTAATAACACACTATATTTTTTCCTTTTGAAAATATCACTGGGGCCTCACAGTACATGTAGCCCAGGGGACTACAAAATCTTAATCCGGCTCTGCATGGGGTGCATAATAAGGCTATTTAAGCTAGGCCCTCTGTGTGGGGACGTAGTGAGGCCTAAGCAGTTATCAGATTTCTAGCACCGCCGAAGATTGAGTTAAAGTCATTACCACACTTAGACTCCATTTATTAAGATCATTATTCGTGACTATAAAGTCAAAGGTACTTACTAGCCATGTCGTTAGTTTAATATGTTTATTATGCACCCCATACCCATCCTGTGGGCGGTAGTCAAAAGATTACAGAGGTACATAATTGGTCCAGGGACTGGACTCCAAAGTTTTGATAGCTGAGCAAGTTACAAAGGTAATGAACTAGATCTGGTCATAATCATGACCAAGTTACAAAGGTAATGAGCTCCAGGTTGAGCTGGTCACAATCATGACAAGTCATGACATGTCGGTACCGCCATTTGCAGGCTTAAGGGCAATTCACTACAGTTTCAAAAGCTCATTTGTATGAGAGTGATCATCTGTGCTGCCTCCTGGGATTATCTCTCCTACCATTGTATTTCATGCATTCTTCCATTTTTCACGTCTTAAACTTAAGATCACAAAGCAACAAGATCTACTGGGCTCGGGTTGAAAGGTTTTCCAAACAGTAATCAATTTTCGATAGTTGTTCACTGAGCTAAATGGAAGGTGTATCTGGTGAATTGTACACGTGAATTATATACAACTGTATTTTGTTGTGGTGTTAAGAAACTCGGAAGAAATTAATGACTTTTAACCAGTAGGACAGCTCTCCCTCCCTTCTTCCCTTGATGTTTACGCTGTTTACCCAACACAGGATCATTTTTTAACACGGTAATGAATTGTGTCATGGGTCATGTGTCATGGGTCATGTGCCATGGGTCATGGGTCATATGTCATGTGTCATGGGTCATGTGTCATTGGTAATGGAATGTGTCAGCCTCAACTGGAAGATTTCACTAGGGAAATTATTATTATAATCAAAACTAAGTACGACGACGACGACGACGACGAAGAAGAAGAAGAAGAAGAAGAAGAAGAAGAAGAAGAAGAAGAAGAAGAAGAAGAAGAAGAAGAAGAAGAAGAAGAAGAAGAAGAAGAAGAAGAAGAGAAGAAGAAGAAGAAGAAGAAGAAGAAGAAGAAGAAGAAGAGAAGAAGAAGAAGAAGAAGAAGAAGAAGAAGAAGAAGAAGAAGAAGAAGAAGAAGAAGAGGAAGAAGAAGAAGAAGAAGAAGAAGAAGAAGAAGAAGAAGAAGAAGAAGAAGAAGAAGAAGAAAAGAAGATTTTATTCAGAGTGTCAGTAACCAAGCCCAGCAGTGTACTTTATTTCCATAAGCGTTGCTGGTTCTCTACCCCAGGATGCTACCCACAACAGGTGACTAACACCCAGGTACCTACTTACTGTAAGGTTAACAGGGGTGACGGATGTAAGGAAACATGTCCAACGGGCTAGGACGTCTCGGCAAGTGCTAAGACGTCTCAGCACGTGGTAGGACGTCTCAGCACGTGGTAGGACGTCTCAGCACGTGGTAGGACGTCTCAGCACGTGCGAGGACGTCTTGCCACGTGTTGAGACGTATCGGCACGTGTTGTTACGTACCAAAACGGGTTAACGTGTGAAATGTTTTCAAAAATACTGTTGAACATTTTTTTTACACCTGTTGCCCCTATTCACCTAGCAGTAAGTAGGTACCTGGGAGTCAGTCGATTGTTGTGGGTGGCATCCTGGGGAGAGAATCTGTAAGCCACTCTGCCTGGCTTTTTCGGGTTATACTGGGTTATTAATGTTACTGATAATCAGAATAAAGTCTTATCCCTTTGCTTCATAAATTATCATGTAACATTAATGGGATTATTTTAACACGTCATTAAGCCAGTAATATTTGCTCTTAAAATAAAAATAATAACACTGTCACCTTTTAATTTTCATAATAGAATTATGTACATAAAATAGATGTTTTTTCGATTTGTATTAAATTTTCTATCTCCATAATGACTCGTTCTGAGCGCTCGAAATTGTGGCTGGCTTCTCACAAGCCAGAGTAACACTAGACACAGTGGCTTGGCTTTCACCTTATACTAGCTAAGACATAGTCACGTATCTAGCTAACTTTCAAGCCAGTTGGAAAAAACCCACTTGTTTGGGAATGGTATTTATGGTTCCCCTTGAAAGAAAAAAAATCACGTCCGGCTTCGTGGAATTCAGCCGAAAAATCGACGGACAGGCTTGGCTTTCATTGCCACATGATGGATTAGTGGCTTAGAGGATCTATGGCACGATATATGGGTGGATTTGGAAGTCCCGGAGCGCGGTATTGGACTGCAGCCGAAATTCTGTCGTCTGCTACTGAGGGGAGTAAAAAGTTGCTGAGAGGGGAGAGAGACCTTTTTTGGGGTGTTTTGATTTAGAAACTGACCTTGTGCGGGTGGGGGCGGGTGCTTGACCGAGGCGGTCAGCATGGGATAGAAGATCTTGGGCCATAGGACGGCGAAGCATCCTACCACTATGGCTAGAACCAGTATCGTCTTTCCCGTGCCGAATTCACCCGACATTTTGAAGGAGTGTTGCACTGCTGGGGTCTAGAGGTCGCTAGTGTGCCAGTAGTGGCCCCCGACCTCCTGGTCCCCGTCCCCTGGGAGGTATCCGTCCTCCCTAGCCCCATCCCCGACCCGGGGGTAAGGGGAAGCACTTCCCCTGCTGCATTGCCTCCCCAGGCTCTCTATCCTCCCCTAAGGCACCCCCTGCAACCCTCCCCAGGGGCATCCCAGGCCCTAAATCAGGGGGCCAATCCCACGCCAGACGACGCCATGCCATCCATTCCCACCTGGGCCACCCTACCAAAACCCAACCTCCCCAACCCACTACCCTACGAGCCCACCACGGGCAACCCACCAACACCCCCCACCCACACACCAACACCACCTACCCCCCCACCAACACCACCTACCCACCCACCAACACCACCTACCCAACAACACCCCCACCCACCAACAACACCCCCACCCACCAACACCACCTACCTACCCACCCACACCCCCACCCACACCACCTACCCATCCAACCAACAAACACACCCCCTACAACCCCAATCCCCACCCATACATCTTTCAACAAAACATCCGCCACCCCCCCAAAAAAAAACACACAAAAAAAGCCACCCACCAAAATACATCACTTCCTCTCTACCCACCCCAGAAAATCACCCATCAAGCAATAAATCAGGAAAAATAAGTGGAATAAGAGCATAAACAACACTTCTAAAAAGATGTCCTCCCCACCCTCATATTGATGTAAACAAACGATGGCTCTCTCCACCAGTGATTTATCTAAGTTACTCGGGTATATATCATGCCCATGCGGGTATACCTCACCCTATATCCTGCCCACCCTGCTCTCTCTCAACTTAACCTCCCAATACACCACCTCCACCCCTTTAAAACCCCCTTCCAACCTCCCTATACCTCTTTATTGGACTGTTTTAGGGGGTTTTGGGCTGGGGATTAACTGTATATACGCCGGGAAGTGTATTTATGAGTATATATGCGCCGCGAATTATATTTGTGACTGTGTATATATCGGGAAGTATATTGCCGAGTGTATATTCACTGAGAAGTATATTTGAGTGTATATACACATCTTTATGACTATATACACCGAGAAGTATATTTTTGAGTATATACACTGGGAAATATATTTGAGCGAATATACACTGGGAGGTATACGAGTATACACCGGGAAGTTTGACTGTATATACACCGAGAAGTATATTTGAGTATATAAGCTGAGATTATATTTATGACTATATATACACGGGGAAATATATTGTGAGTATATATACACCAGGAAGTATATTTATGTACATCAGGAAGTATATTTCTGACTATATACCAAAATGTCATAAGCTTCTGTCTCCTGTGTGCTGAACTCAGGCAAGAGTTCACAGTTAACAATACCCGCAGCCTGTGTCCATCACGGAATAAGTACAGTAGGACTCCCATATTCGTGGGGGACCTGCAGTGGATACTGAAACTGTGGATAGTAGCGAACCCTACATATAAGTCCTATACATACCTGTTATAAAGTTTAATTGATAAATTATAACAATAATTGGAGAATTATCACTTTTTTACTGATGGGAAGCACTTCACAGCTTCTCTTAGGTTTGAAGAACTTCCACCATCACTACTTTTACACTTTGAGACCATACGGTGCCTCGTGGCCTGGTGGCTAAAGCTCTAGCTTCACGTGGCGAGGTTCTGGGTTTGATTCCCAGCGAGGGTAGAAACATTGGGCGTGTTTCTTTACACCTGTTGTCTATGTTCACCCATTGGTAAAATGGGTTCCTGGATGTTAGTAGACTGGTGTGGGTTGCATCCTGGGAACAAAACTGACCTAATGCTCTGCATAACGAGCTGCTTTCTATATAGTAGTATGTCACTGATGTCAACTATGGTCTGTATACCTTGTACATGTACTCGTAGAAATAAAGATCTGATTATATTAGTATTATTATTATTATTAAGCAAAATTAAGGGTTATTATTGGGCAGTGGTAAGCCGTGGATAACTGAGACTGTGGATACTGGACCTGTGGATACTGGACCTGTGGATACTGGACCTGTGGATACTGGACCTGTGGATACTGGACCTGTGGATACAGGGCCCTACTATATTTCTTGAGCAAACTGTTACTTTGGGAGATACTAGCAAAAATAATTTGGTATGCTTATTTTGGCCACACAACACTTTTAGTAACCTGGAGTTTACCTGGAGAGAGTTTCGGGGGTCAACGCCCCCGCGGCCCGGTCTGTGACCAGGCCTCCTGGTGGATCAGCGCCTGATCAACCAGGCTGTTGCTGCTGGCTGCACGCAAACCAACGTACGAGCCACAGCCCGGCTGATCAGGAACTGCCTTTAGGTGCTTGTCCAGTGCCAGCTTGAAGACTGCCAGGGGTCTGTTGGTAATCCCCCTTATGTGTGCTGGGAGGCAGTTGAACAGTCTCGGTCCCCTGACACTTATTGTATGGTCTCTTAACGTGCTAGTGACACCCCTGCTTTTCATTGGGGGGATGGTGCATCGTCTGCCAAGTCTTTTGCTTTCGTAGTGAGTGATTTTCGTGTGCAAGTTCGGTACTAGTCCCTCTAGGATTTTCCAGGTGTATATAATCATGTATCTCTCCCTCCTGCGTTCCAGGGAATACAGGTTTAGAAACCTCAAGCGCTCCCAGTAATTGAGGTGTTTTATCTCCGTTATGCGCGCCGTGAAAGTTCTCTGTACATTTTCTAGGTCGGCAATTTCACCTGCCTTGAAAGGTGCTGTTAGAGTGCAGCAATATTCCAGCCTAGATAGAACAAGTGACCTGAAGAGTGTCATCATGGGCTTGGCCTCCCTAGTTTTGAAGGTTCTCATTATCCATCCTGTCATTTTTCTAGCAGATGCGATTGATACAATGTTATGGTCCTTGAAGGTGAGATCCTCCGACATAATCACTCCCAGGTCTTTGACGTTGGTGTTTCGCTCTATTTTGTGGCCAGAATTTGTTTTGTACTCTGATGAAGATTTAATTTCCTCATGTTTACCATATCTGAGTAATTGAAATTTCTCATCGTTGAACTTCATATTGTTTTCTGCAGCCCACTGAAAGATTTGGTTGATGTCCGCCTGGAGCCTTGCAGTGTCTGCAATGGAAGACACTGTCATGCAGATTCGGGTGTCATCTGCAAAGGAAGACACGGTGCTGTGGCTGACATCCTTGTCTATGTCGGATATGAGGATGAGGAACAAGATGGGAGCTAGTACTGTGCCTTGTGGAACAGAGCTTTTCACCGTAGCTGCCTCGGACTTTACTCTGTTGACGACTACTCTCTGTGTTCTGTTAGTGAGGAAATTATAGATCCATCGACCGACTTTTCCTGTTATTCCTTTAGCGCGCATTTTGTGCGCTATTACGCCATGGTCACACTTGTCGAAGGCTTTTGCAAAGTCTGTATATATTACATCTGCATTCTTTTGTCTTCTAGTGCATTTAGGACCTTGTCGTAGTGATCCAGTAGTTGAGACAGACAGGAGCGACCTGTTCTAAACCCATGTTGCCCTGGGTTGTGTAACTGATGGGTTTCTAGATGGGTGTGATCTTGCTTCTTTGGACCCTTTCAAAGATTTTTATGATATGGGATGTTAGTGCTATTGGTCTGTAGTTCTTTGCTGTTGCTTTACTGCCCCTTTGTGGAGTGGGCTATGTCTGTTGTTTTTAGTAACTGAGGGACGACCCCCGTGTCCATGCTCCCTCTCCATAGGATGGAAAAGGCTCATGATAGGGGCTTCTTGCAGTTCTTGATGAACACAGAGTTCCATGAGTCTGGCCCTGGGCAGAGTGCATGGGCATGTCATTTATCGCCTGTTCGAAGTCATTTGGCGTCAGGATAACATCGGATAGGCTTGTGTTAATCAATTTTTGTGGCTCTCTCATAAAAAATTCATTTTGACTTGACTCTCAGTCTGGTTAGCGGCTTGCTAAAAACTGAGTCATATTGGGACTTGAGTAGCTCACTTCATTTCCTTGCTGTCATCTGTGTGGGACCCATCTTGTTTAAGTAGGGGCCCAATACTGGACGTTGTTCTCGATTTTGATTTGGCATAGGAGAAGAAATACTTTGGGTTTTTTCGATTTCATTTATTGGCTTTTAGTTCTTCCCGCGATTCCTGACTCCTAAAGGTTTCTTTTAGCTTAAGTTCGATGTTTTGCTATTTCCTGACCAGTGCCCTCCCTGCGCATTTCTGATATATTGACCTCTTTTAGCCGCTCTGTTATTCTTTTCCGTCGCCTGTAAAGGGAGCGCCTGTCTTTTTCTATTTTAAAATCTACTCCTCCTTTTTCTTAGAGGAATAAGCCTTGTGCATACATCGAGTGCCACCGAGTTAATCTGTTTAGGCATAAGTTTGGGTCTGTGTTGCTTAGTATATCTTCCAGCTTATAACGGTTAGGACTTGGTTTACTTGGTCCCACTTTATGTTTTTGTTATTTAAGTTGAATTTGGTGAATGCTCCCTCGTGACTAGTCTCATTTTGTCGGTCTGGGGCTCCACGCATACATGTCTGAACCTCAATTATGTTGTGATCTGAGTATATTGTTTTTGATATGGTGACAATTTCTTATCAGAATTTTCATTGTTAGTGAAGATGAGGTCTAGTGTATCTCCAGTCTAGTGGGTTATTATTTGCTGGTTTAAATTGAATTTTGTGCAGGAATTTAAAGCTCGTTGAGTGTGATTTTCATCAGAGCTGCCTCCTGGTGTTATTACTGCAACAATATTATTTGCTATATTCCTCCATTTTAGGGGTCCCTTTAAATTGAAATCCCCCAGGGGCAAGATGTTGGGGGCAGGAGCTGGAAGATTTTCCAGACAGTGGTCAATTTTTAACAGCTGTTCCTGGAATTGCTGGGATGTTGCATCCGGAGGCTTGTAGACTACCACAATGATAGGTTTTGGTTCTCGACCTTTACTGCTAAAACTTCCACTACGTCATTTGAGGGATTAAGCAGTTCTGTGCAAACAAGTGACTCTGCAATGTACAGGCCAACCCCCCCCCTTTTGCTGTTCACTCTGTCACATCTGTATAGGTTGTAACCTGGGATCCATATTTCGTTGTTCCAAGTGATCCTTTATGTGGGTCTCAGTGAAAGCCGCGAACATTGCCTTTGCCTCTGCAAGCAGTCCACGGATGAAAGGTATTTTGTTGTTTATTGCTGGCTTTAGACCCTGTATATTTGCAAAGAAGAATGTTATCGGACTGGTGGTATTGTTGGTACTGGGGGGGGATTTTTTTTCCGGCATTAGTATCTGTATCTGTTGGTTTGGAGTGGAGGCCATCGACTGTGGTTCCACTCCAGGAATGACTGGATTTGGTGTACGATTTCTGCCATTTCCTGCCAGTTTTTTTTCCTTCCTGGCACTAAAAAACCTCTCCCTCTTGAGTGGCTGTGGCTACCCAGGTTTTCCCATGGCCTGGATGTTTTGTATCTTTTTGTCCCCTTTATGCACTAATACATAATGTAGTTTACATGTAATAAAATATTGTAAAGTGCACAAGAAAGTCACTAACATGCTGTACATTTCAGACATTTTGGTCTGGCTTAATATGGACCCCTGGAAATGAGTCACCTTGTCTGACTTTTTTGGGTTATCCTAGTTAATTTATACTGTATAAGTGTATATATGTATACAAGGACTTCATTGGAAGTGAGTCACTTTGAATTTTTTGGGGGTTATCCTGGAGGGTAATCTATACTTGTGCTGCTAAGTATGATAATTTATGTAACTGTATTTATGTGTAACTGTACCTGAGTGAACTTACTTATTCATGCAATAAAATTTGTTGATAGAACTGGAGACACTTTCAGACATATTTAACTTTATGCATTTGACAAAGATTTACAACTTAACCCCTATCTGTTATAGAAGTTATTACAGTTATAAGTGACCATGATGGATGGGTGTTGATAAGTTGCAGTTTTTTAACTGTGGTGTAGGCACATCTCTGGCAAGATTGTGAGTGAATGAATGACGAAAGTGTTTCTTCTTTTCCGAATCACCCTGCCTTGGTGGGAAACGGCTGATGTGTTAACAAAATAAAAAAATATAAAATGTCTTACCTGGAGGAACACCCTCTGGGTATACTCCAGGTAAGATATTTTATTATTTTTGCCACTTATTCAGCAGTATAAAAATAAAAAAATTGTATGATCACTTATAAATGCAGTAACTTTTTATCGTAATTCTGTATTAGCCTCTTTTTTTTCAGAATTTTATCGGAGGAATCTGCTGATTCATCAACCTTAGAACAGATAACTCAGCAGATTTTTCAAAATTTTGCCAAAGACGATTTTTTTAAATGTAAGTATGTAAGTACTGTATTTTATTATATTTAATAATGGTTACTAAAACAAAATTTTCATTATTTTTTTCAAGCGGTTAACTACTGTATTTTAAGCTTGCATTTTGATGAACAGTTAAACACTGTATTCTATGAATAAACAGAAGGGTGGACGAGGGGCTTGAACCGCAGTCTGCAAATTGACAGTCCAACCGCCCTGCTGCTTTGGCTACCCTTCTGTTTATTCACTGACAGTTGTTTATTGCAACTTAATTTGAGTCCAATGTATTCCATAATATGATGTTAACATAGATGCTGTGTTTAGCTTACATATATATTTGCTACCTATGGATGTATTTTGTTTATATGCTGTACTGCCACATAATAGCCGTTATTTCCACAGTGGGAAGTGCACTTGTGTTCTTGTTACAACAGCCAGACCTCCTGCCAAGCCCAGCACAACGACTCTCAGCAATAACAATCCTTCATGAGTTGTATCGTGGTGAACCCCCACCGAATAATCCCTTTCTTCCGGTCTTCGTGAATCTCTTGGTACAGGATTGATCACTTTGTTGTTTATGGCAATGGATTATCAGATTGTTGCTTGAATACCTCACATGATTTGTGATCTATGAAAGCAAAATTTTTTTAATCTTTACATATAGAATAAAATTTACAATACAATAGAACAAATTCACACTTAGGAAACTTTAGATGAAATTTCAGTCCCAGAAGGTTTTTTGGTGAGTCAGTGACTAAAGTCATGAGGCTGGGTTCGATACATCATTAGACAAGTTTACTGTATAGTTATAAATAATTTTTGCCCCTTATATATAAATTTACATTATTAATTATATTTTCCTATTTTTTTGCTGTCATTAGCACCCTCCTGATGACATAGCCAAAGGCACAGGAAAGAAGTTGGAATACGCTGGCCATATACCAAGAGTTACTCAACCGGAGTTAGTTTTTTTGTCTACTCTTATTACAGAAAGAAACAGTAAAGAGGTATGTTTAATACTACTTTGCTTACAAATAAAGAACAAAAAGGCACAATACCATGACTGGAACAATTCACAAATAACTTGCACATTGGAGATAGAGAAGCCTACAATGATGTTTCAGTCTGACTTGGCTCCCTTTCTCTTTTGTGTTAGTACGCACAAAAATTCAAATGGTTATAATCATAACCATAATTTTTAAAGAGGTGGAGGGGTAAGCCAGTGGAATTCCTCGGTAAGATGATGTAAAAGCTCCAGCTGTGAGTCATCATATGACTAAGACCTGCATCGGGAAACACTTGTTCTGTGTCATTGTGACTTTGTAAATGTTCCAAGTTGGACCGAAACGTCGTCGCAAGTTTCTCTCTCCTATGCACGGGTTATTTGTGTATTGTTCACAGATATAAATTGGATACACTTTGCTTTATCACATTAAATCACATCCTAATTGTCATTTCATGAATGTGAAGCATTTTGATTTTTATCAAGTTTTTGATGTCCTGAGTTTTTTCCTTTCATTCTTCCATTTATTTAGTCCTAAATTTCCAACTCCTTTCGATAAACTTTGTTATTCAGACTTTATACCTAAGAATTAAGCTGATGTTAACAAATGAGAGTTAAAATTGTCTCATTTTGTTTGTAAGAGGAGAGTTTGAGGGAGAGGGTAAAGGTTTTCAGTGCTAGAAATTTGACATCCAGCAGGCTTCTGTTAGTGCATTACATTGGAGTCATTGGAGGCAAGTGGTTTTTATGGCTTGATATGCTAATGGAGTGTGAGCAAAGTAACATTTGTGAAGGGATTCGGGGAACCTGGTTAGTCAGACTTGAGTCCTGGAGGTGGGAAGTACAGTGCCTGCACTCTGAAGGAGGGGTAGAAATATGTTGTAGTTTTTGAGCTGCAGTATCGGCATGCTACTGGCAAGGCAGCGATGGAGTGAATGATGATGAAAGTGTTTCTTCTTTTTCGGGTCAACCTACCTCTGTGGGAAATGGCTGATATGTTAAAAATGTTAAAAATTATTTCATTTCTGCAGTATTTATATCATCAATTCTTCATAGAAGATGAAATACCACAATCATAAACTTTATTCCTGTAACTATAATGGATCTTAAATTTTTTTTTTTACTTTAATGGTACTTAAAATATTTCTTTTTTACTTTTTCTCCTTTTTTCAGTTACTGAAGAGAACAGCATCGCAGATTATGAACCTCGACGTTTCCAACCATCCACCAATCGACACAACAGCCCTCAGACTAAACCTCGCAGAACTACTCTCTGAACGTCCAGACACAGCCAAGAGTGCCATCCCAGTTATCTATTCCCATCCTCAACCATCACCCAGCTCAGGGTACACTAACACATTACTTTTTATATTTATATTTTATACTGACAAAGCACTCTGTGACCCACCAAGATTTAACACATCTTTTTTAATGTAATGATACCGTTAACTCTCAGTTTAATGAACTGAGATGAGATTTTGTTAGGATTTTTAACCAAGAGGGTTAGCTACTCTGGATAACCCAATAAAGTCAGTGCATCATCAAGGAATGTCTGTCTTATTTCCACTTGAGTCCTTTAAAATTGTCCCCAGGATGCTACCCAGTATCTTCTTACTACTAGGTGAACAGTGATGGCAGGTGTTTACCTGGAGTTTACCTGGAGAGAGTTCCGGGGGTCAACGCCCCCGCGGCCCGGTCTGTGACCAGGCCTCCTGGTGGATCAGAGCCTGATCAACCAGGCTGTTGCTGCTGGCTGCACGCAAACCAACGTACGAGCCACAGCCCGGCTGATCCGGAACTGACTTTAGGTGCTTGTCCAGTGCCAGCTTGAAGACTGCCAGGGGTCTGTTGGTAATCCCCCTTATGTGTGCTGGGAGGCAGTTGAACAGTCTCGGGCCCCTGACACTTATTGTATGGTCTCTTAACGTGCTAGTGACACCCCTGCTTTTCATTGGGGGGATGGTGCATCGTCTGCCAAGTCTTTTGCTTTCGTAGTGAGTGATTTTCGTGTGCAAGTTCGGTACTAGTCCCTCTAGGATTTTCCAGGTGTATATAATCATGTATCTCTCCCTCCTGCGTTCCAGGGAATACAGGTTTAGGAACCTCAAGCGCTCCCAATAATTGAGGTGTTTTATCTCCGTAAAACACCTCACATGCCTAATATTTCCACCTGTACCAGGGATTGAACCATGGACACTTGCTATGTGAGCTGAGTGCGCTGCCAACTGAGTCACAAGACACTAATAAGGGTGAGTGGGTTGCCAGTAATGGTGATTATGGGGGATAGAAATGCAACTATTTTATCATGATCCCTGGTATGGGTGGAGACATTGAGTGTGTTTCCTTAAGACACCTGATGTCCATGTTCACCTAGCAGTAAAACAGGTACCTGGGTGTTAGTCGACTGGTGTGGGTCGCTTCCTGGGACAAAACTGACCTAATTTGCCCAAAATGCTCTGCATAACAAAGGGCTATCTATATAGTATGTCACTTTGGTCTGTATACCTTGTACATGTACTTGTAGAAATAAAGGTGATGATGATGATGATCATCATCGTCGTTGTCGTCGTCATCATCATCATCAGCGGACTTTGTCCGTTGTTTGAGAATTGGTTGACCCAGCAGATTTTATTCCATATTTCTGAAGTCTATTATAGAGCTCTATTAAATCAAAGGTGTACTGCTAATACTGTAATAATGTAGTGACTAGTTTATGTTTTAGAAAATTAGTGAATATTATGTTGAATGTGGTACATGAAAGTAGTTATATGAATAAACAAAAGTGAGCAAAGTAACATGAAGGGATTTAGGGAAACCGGTTAGACAGACTTGAGTCCTGGAGGTGGTAAGTACTTTGCTTGCACTCTGAAGGAGGGATAGAGATTTTTTTTTTTTGTAATAAGTCGGCCGTCTCCCACCGAGGCAGGGTGACCCAAAAAGAAAGAAAATCCCCAAAAAGAAAATACTTACATCATTCAACACTTTCACCTCACTCACACATAATCACTGTTTTTGCAGAGGTGCCCAGAATACAACAGGGATAGAGATATGTTGTAGTTTTTGAACTGTAGTGTCGGCACACCACTGTCAAGACAGCGATGGAGTGAGTGATGATGAAAGTGTTTCTTATTTTTCAGGTCACCCTGCCTTGGTGGGAAATGGGCTACTCAATCCTTGGTCTTGGCATATATTATTAGAGTATTAAGTTAAAAGAATGTACAATATTGTACATTAGGACCTCAGCTTATGAATACAAATGGAGCAGTAGAAATGAAATAAAGATGATGTAATCAGTCCATCAGGTTTTGTTTCTGGTTTTTCAACTTACAAACATGTTGCTTGTGGGGACAAACACTGTAAAGAATTGTTAGGCGTCACATGTTTGTACTACAGTTTAGCATTTCTAAAACTTTTATTGGTTAATAAGTGACATACTTGTAAGTGTAACTGTGTGTAACTTATGGTGTATGTGTGAATGTGTGTAACTTATTGTTAGTACCAGAACACCCATGGATAACTAAGTATATTTACCAATTGCTCATCAGTAATAGTGTTAGACACTTGAAACCCATGAATAAAGAAACTCATGAATAAAGACACTCACAAATAAAGAAACAAGTAAAGAAACTCTCAAATAAAGAAACTCCTCATAAAGCAAGAAGCACCCGTAATGTGACATTTTATTGTGGCAACATTTCGCTCTCCAGAAACTTTGTTAACATTACCAGTAACAGCTTGACAAAGTTCCTGGAGAACAAAATCTTTCTTTCAACACACCGGCCGTATCCCACCAAGGCAGGGTGGCCCAAAAGGAAAAACGAAAGTTCTCCTTTTACATTTAGTAATATATACAGGAGAAGGGGTTACTAGCCCCTTGCCCCTGGCATTTTAGTCGCCTCTTACAACACGCATGGCTTACGGAGGAAGAATTCTGTTCCACTTCCCCATGGGGGTAAGAGGAAATAAGCAAGGACAAGAACTAGAAAGAAAACCCAGAGGGGAGTGTATATATATGCTTGTACATGTACGTGTAGTGTGACCTAAGTGTAAGTAGAAGTAGCAAGATGTATCTGAAATCTTGCATGTTTATGAGACAGAAAAATGGACACCAGCAATCCTACCATCATGTAAAACAATTACAGACTTTCGTTTTATATTCACTTGGCAGGACGGTAGTACCTCCCTGGGCGGTTGCTGTCTACCAACCTACTACCTTTAGGAGAACAAAATGTTACCACAATAAAATGTCACATTAGTTGCATCTGTGTCTGTTCGAATATTGTACCTCTCCTACTACACCATCTTTTATTTATATTGTATATATACTTTATTATTCAATAAGAGCACAGTAAACAGGTATGCAAAACAACCACTGTGAAAAAATAGTGAAATTCCAAGCACTTTTATGATTTCTCACATTATCAAGGACCTGTAAAAATGATAGAACAATGGAAGGTACATCTCAACCTTATAAGCCTTCTGCTGTTCTGTTATTTTTATAGTTCCTTGATGATGTGAGAAATCACATAAGTGCTTGCAATTTCACTATTTTTTTTCACAGTGGTTGTTTTGCATATACAGTGGACCCCCGCTTAACGATCACCTCCAAATGCAACCAATTATGTAAGTGTATTTATGTAAGTGCGTTTGTACGTGTATGTTTGGGGGTCTGAAATGGACTAATCTACTTCACAATATTCCTTATGGGAAAAAATTCGGTCAGTACTGGCACCTGAACATACTACTGGAATGAAAAAAGTTCATTAACCGGGGGTCCACTGTACTTTATTATGCAAAATGATACACAGATCTACAGATTTCATTGAAATTTAATGAATTGTATGTTTGATTTTCTGATATTTTGAATATTTAACCCTTAGCTTCTTTGGCTATAATAATGATCATTATTTCAGATTGTTAAGCGAAGTAAGCCAAGTGAAGAGAACCTGTGAAGCGTTGCTCTGTGGTCCCAGACAGACTTTAGCCCAGCAGTATTTCACCCCAGAAATTATTAGACTAACACCTCCACTACACATTGCTGAAGATGAGGTTAGACTAACTTTTTTATGAAAAAAATCACACAAACTAAAGACTAGAGCAAATGAGTGAGCTCAGTGGGAAATATTCCTGGTGGGAAATAACCATTGGGTCAATAAATAATTACATGACAGTTAGAACACTTCCTGCACTAACTGTAGTATTAAGTTGCAGATGTTACGTATGGATTTCATATTTAACTTATATATTAATTGTATATGTGTATGCTTCTAAACTGTTGTATTCTGAGCACCTCTGCAAAAGCAGTGATAATGTGTGAGTGTGGTGAAAGTGTTGAATGATGATGAAAGTATTTTCTTTTTGGGGATTTTCTTTCTTTTTTGGGTCACTCTGCCTCGGTGGGAGACGGCCGACTTGTTGGAAAAAAAAAATTAATTTTATATTTATTTTTTACTTCACAATAATGTGAAATTAAATTCTATATTGTATAACCATTTTTAACAAACAAATGCCTCAAAACGGGGATACATTTCTATATGTCATCATTTATATAATGAATAACCTACGGCAGCTTTAATATGAATGTTAAAATGAATTTGTGCTCACAAATAAAAGTATGATTAATCATGTAATGGATGGGTTTAAAACCCATAGCAAGTTAGTGCTACAATTCACAGGCCAGTGCGTTAACTACTGGACCAGCTGGCTATAACAAGATTCACCCACCTTGGTCTATTTCTGTGCACCATAGAAAGGTTAGCATGGGCACCTATGGTGTGTAGAAATATACCTAGTTGGTTGAATCTTCTTGGTGCCAGCTGGTCCAGTGGTTAACACACTGGCCTGTGAGTTTTATATTTCATTTGCCAATTGTTCAAACCCCCACTCGTTTCATGATTTGTTTACAATCGTGTTGTTATGATTTTGTGAGTTACAATAACTATTTTGTATTATAAGGCTAAGATTAATACACTGCAATAGTATCCTGAATTAATACAGACTGTATTTCCTCCAACAGCTAGTTTGGATAACCCCAGTCGACCGTGCTGAACACAAAGTTATGTATGATTCAAGCATGTGTATTCTTAGTGGTGGCGATGCTGAGGCCAAGCGACTAATGGCCAAGGCCTTCAAGGAAACATTATCATTACCTCAGCAACAACACCTTCTTGCTGAGCTAGATAAGGACCCTAGGATGGTTTATCACACTGGTTTAACTCCTCCCAAGGTGAATTATTTAGTGTTTTCTATGTTTTGTTTTTTTAACACAGAGGCCATCTCCCACTGAGGCAGAGTGACCCAAAAGAGAAGAAACGAAAGTCTCTTTTCTTTTTACATTTAGTAATTTATACAGAAGGGGTTACTAGCCCCTTGTTTCCAGCATTTTAGTTGCTTCTTATGATATGCATGGCTTACGAAGGATTTTTTTTTTTTCCTACTTCCCCTGTATTCTTTTTTTCTTTTTTAATATGTCGATCATTTCCCACAGGCAGGGTGACCCCCCCCCCAAAAAAAAAAAGGAAAAAAAAATTCTTTGTATGCTGTATTATGTATTGCTATTGATGAATAAGACACTGTAACACTTAGATATTTTGTCAGTCAGTGACTGTCAGTCCAATACTGAGAATAATAACTGAAGATGGTGGAAGACATAAACAAGAAGTTTAAGGTGATCAGTCCTTCAACCTTGAAAGGTGGTGTTGAGTTCAACAGTCTTGTTTAACATTACACAGCTTGGTTCATTTCTCTGAGAGTTATGTTTTCATCCATCTTCCTTGATATAACATTCTCTCTGTCAGGTTCTTTAACTGCTATAGTTATTGACACTATTTATGAAGATAACTAGTAATGTCTGTGGGGAAGTGGAAAAGAATTCTTCCTCCATAAGCCATGAGTGTCATAAGAAGCAATTAAAATGTGGGAAAAAGGGGTTAGTAACACCTTCTGTATAAATTACTAAATTTAAAAGGAAAAACTTTTGTTTTTCTTTTTAGGTCGCCCTGCCTTGGTAGGATATGGCCGGTTTATTGAAAAAAAAAATAGTAATGTTCTATGTATACTGTATAATCTTTTGTCACGTAGTTTATATTTTTCATATGGCCTGATTTCCTATTTCCCTATTTCTGTTACACAGATTTTTTTCTTTTTCAACATGCTGGCCATCTCCCATCAAGGCAGGGTGACCTAATAAGAAAAACAATAGTTTTTCTTTTTAAATTTAGTAATGTATACAAGAGAAGAGGTTACTAGCTCCTTGCTACCGGCATTTGGCTCATGGAGGAAGAGTTCTTTTCCACCTCCCTATGGAGATTTGTGTAATTTATGGATTATAACCCATCATCTCTGTGTTTACCAGAATGCTGTTTTATTGAGAAAACTTACTGTCCATTAAGTCATGTTATCCTTTCTTTTTTCTGTTCAACATGATAATTTTTTCAAAATTATTGTAACCTAACTTAATCTAACCTAAAATACAGTACAGTACATAAGAAGTCACCTAAGATCTATACATTAGAAAATGCTTATGACCCATGGGTTTAGTGCCCCCCCCCATAAGTAAAATAAATATTTGGAAGAGATCACAATAAACCACATGACTGCAAATATGAAAAGAATACCACAGTGAAAATAGGAAATAAAACTTGAGCACTTACACACACATATCTTCAGAGAAAGATGTGTGTGTGTAAGCACATGAAAGTACTTGGGTTTTATTTCCTATTTTCACTGTGGTATTTTTTCATAATAAATATTTACACTTGAAAAGTAATGGTGTGACTCAGAAGAATAGATTGGATAGTATCTAACAAGCTTTTTAACCTTTGACTGTTTCCGACGTATAAATACGTCTTACGAGCCAATGTTTCTGACGTATTTATACGCACAAATTCTAGCGGCTTCAAATCGAGCGCCAAAGGCCTGATAGGCCTACACGGGAGAGAATGGGTCTCAGTGGTCGGTGTGCACCCTGTGAAAAAATCTGGGACCCAGCGGTGCATTGTGGGAACGCCATGTTTTCAGTCCATTTTCACCATGCCTCTCGGTAAGAAGTTCCTCACTCCTCGGCGGATTGGAGGTCTTTTGTTCCCAAGTGATAGCTCTAACAGCGATGAAAGTGTCAGTGACAGTGAATTCAAGGGTTTTCAAGTGAGTGTTACCGAAAAAAGTGCCCAGGATAACGTAAATAGTGACGAAAACCCAGATGACCCACAACCTTCGACCTCTGGTGCTGTGCCGGCTTGTTCACGTTCACGTTTGCCTGTACCAGGACGAAAGAGGAAACTATTTGGTCGTGTACAACACCCAGATGATAGCAGTGATAGTGATAGTGATTTCAAGGTCATTGAAAGCAGTTCTAGTGACAGTGAGAGTGAATATTCCCCAGTGAAGCGCCAGTATGTACGACGTAGCTGCGGTCTGGTAGTGTTTCATATGTTGTTCCAAGGGGAAGGAGAAACTCTGGGAGCACATCCCGTGGCCCAACACCACGACCTGATAGTGAAGATGACGATATTGTAACGATGGGTATGAATGGTGACAGTGAGGGAGGAGGCAGTGGTGGTGATAGTGAGGGTGGCACGGCCCATGTGGCACCATCACCGGGCCACGCTACTAGCCACGCGGATGACTCAGCAGAACAACCAGCCTCACCCTACCCCACACTGCCACAACCTGCACCACCACAACCTGCACAGCCACAACCACAGCCACAACCACGGTACAATATCCAGACCCACCAGCAGACCGCATCTGGGATTGGCAGGACGGTGACGAGTTTGTTCCCAGTCCCATGACTTTGATGAAACACAAAGTGGAATAAAGCCATCTTGTCCACTTGGGAACAATGCCAGTGAACTGGACTGCTTTGAGTTATTCTTCGATGAACCCCTGATGGACATCATTGTCAGGGAAACCAACACATACTGTGAATACACCATGGCAAATACAATTCTCTCACCAAAATCACGGCTACACAAGTGGAAGGAGACAACTGTGCAGAGATGTACCTGTTTTTTGCCACAATAATGCTTATGCCACATGTGTATAAGCACACTGTACAAATACTGGACAACAGATCGCCTGATTTCACTCCAGGTTTTAGTGACATTATAGGTGTCAATCGTTTCCTGATACTGTTGCGTATGTTACACTTTTCAGACAAAACCAGGCCTGACAGAAGCGACAGGTTATATAAGATAAGAAATGTGTTTATGTACCTGAAACAAAAGTGCTGCATGTATTTTTATCCCTTCAGGAAGCTTGTTATTGATGAGTCCTTGATTTTATTCAAAGGAAGACTCTCATTCAAGCAATATATACCAAGCAAGAGGAAACGCTTTGGTATAAAGCTATTTGTACTGTGTGATTGCAGAAGTGGTCTTGTTTTAGATATTATTGTGTACACTGGCAGTAATACTTTGAAAGATACCATGAAGTTATTGGGTATCTCTGGTGATTGTGGTTCGAACAATGATGGAACCATATTTGGTAAGGGGCATATGTTATTTACTGATAACTGGTACACAAGCCCCTTACTCAGTGATTTCTTGCGAGTGAACTTGACAGACGTGTGTGGCACAGTGCGTGGTAATCACAAACATATGCCAAGTTCGACGCTGGCACTCGCAGAGGTGAGGTGCAAGCCTTTGCTGCCAATGACATCATGGCATTTCGGTGGCATGACAAACGTGATGTCACATTGTTGACATCAGTTCACACAAACGAAATGGTACCCAGTGGCAGGGACAACAGAGAGACCAATGAACCCATTCTAAAGCCTGCAGCTGTCATGGACTACAACCTCAATATGCGCTTAGTGGACAATGTGACATGCATATTGGGTTTGCAGACTGTGTACGCAAGAGTTATAAGTGGTATATCAACTTTTTTTCCATCTTGTTGATATCTCTATGCTAAATGCTTATAACATATACAAGTTGAAGACCAACAAAACACCAAAATATGGTGATTTTGCCTGTCAGTAATCAGACAAATAATTGCAAAGTACAAAGGAGCAACTCCTGCAATAGACCAGCGCCCACAGACGTCATCTCGTATGAGGCCTGGTGATCACTACCCCATACAACTGCCTCCTACTACTGCCAAGAAAAATGCTCAGAAGAGGTGTATGTATGTATGCATACCACAAAACGCCCACAAACACGCAGAGACACTCGTTTTATGTGTGTAGGAGTGTGAAGTGCCCCTCTGCATATACCCATGTTTCAAAGAGTTCACACAAGCTGCAGCAGTTCTAGGAACGTGTTTAGTGACTGTACATATGTATATATATTATGGAACAATAGTAATAAACATTGTTTGTATTGTTTGTTTGTGTAAACAAAGTGTATACACAAACTAATAGTGATAAAGTTTGTTCTGTTATTGTGTTGTAAATAATGAGTGTATATTTGAACAATGCACCTTACATTGGTCTCACAGGCCACATAAGTTACCTGGAAAAGAAAAATATTGAAAAATGCAAGAAACCTTTGAATTAGAGTAAATAAAAGAATACCGGGTGGGCGGCAGTCGCCGCTGTTGCCGTACGCACGTCAATTTCTGCAAACTTTGCGGCTCTATATCTCGGTAAGTACTGATGGCAAAAATTTTTTTTTAGGCTTAAAACACTAGTAAAAATATTCCTAACATTTTCATAAGAAAAAATAATTTTTTTTTTTCGAATATTTGGCGACATAGAATGACAGTTTCAGAGAGGGCCCTGAAACAGTCAAAGGGTTAATTATCCTTTTAATGTAGAATATTTTTAATATTGTGCCATTACTAAAAGGCGTATGTAGGATTTGAAATTACGTATATAATGCACTACACAAATAACCCACACATTGACAACTGAAACTGAAACTTATTATGACATTTTGGTCTGACTTGGCTATTTGTGTATTGCTCCAGTCATAGTATTGTGCTTCTTTATTCTTTATGTACAGGTACTCTTCGACTTATAATGGAGTTACGTTCCGACAAACCCACAGTAAGTCATAAATATCGTAATTCGAATGTAAACATGATTTGCTAAATAAATAAGTAACTGCTGTCACTGAATAAGTAAATAAACAAATAATTATTGTAACTAAATACCAGCATTGAAAAGTAAATACAATGGACCCCCGCCTTACGATATTAATCCGTTCCTGAGAGCTCATCGTAAGCAGAAACTATTGTTAGCCGAATTAATGGAAATCAAATTAATCCGTTCCTGACACCCCAGAGTATGAAAAAACAAAATTTTTGTTTACCACATGAAATAATAATTTTAATACACACAAACTGAAGAAGACATGCACAATTACTACTGTACTAAGAATAGAATGCATGACACTTACCTTTATTGAAGATCTGGTGATGATTGATGGGATGGGAGGAGGGGAGAGTGTGGAAGTTATTGTTTAGAAGGGGAATCCCTTTCCATTAGGACTTGAGGTAGCGTCTTTTTCCGGGGTTACTGCTCATCTTCTTTTAATGCCACTAGGACCAGCTTGAGAGTCACTGGACCTCTGTCGCACAACAAATCTGTCCATAGAGCTCTGTACCTCCCATTCCTTTAAGACTTTCCTAAAATGGGCCATAACATTGTCATTGTACAGGTTGCCAACATGGCTTGCAGTAGCTGTGTCAGGGTGATTTTCATCCGTAAAGGTTTGCAGTTCAACCCACTTTGCACACATTTCCTTAATCTCTTTTTTCTATTCCATACTAATTCTCGCCCTTTTTACCACAGGGATGGCACTAGAAGCTTTCTTGGGGTCCATGGTGACTTATTTTGCAGTTACAAGCACTAAAAACACTGGGATAATGTGGAATGTACCGAATGTATGCGTAGATGCGACCGCACTGGCTGGCTTGTAAACATTGGCGCTGAGGCCACACATGGGACGCGTCCCAGATGAATCACGTAAGGTGAGTTTTTTATCGTGAGGCGAGGCAAAATTTTTGCGTTCAAATGCTTCATATAGCGGATTTAACATAACACGATGCGTTCGTAAGGCGAGGGTCCACTCTAAATGGATACGAGCTACGGACTTGCCACCATCGTGCTGGGTAATTATCTCGAGTGTCGTCTCCAAAGTAATTGTTTTTGCACCATTGTAAAGTCAAAATATTGAAAGTGGAACCATCTTAAGTCGAGGAGCATCTGTATATAATGCACTGCACAGATAACCCATACGTAAGAAACTGAAATTTATGACGACGTTTTGGTCTGACTTGCGTTATTTGTGTATTGTTCCAGTCATGGTATTGTGCCTTTTTATTCTTTATATATATAATATACATTTGTCTCTTCAGCTGCCTGACCTGGTGGAACACAACCCACTTATTGCTATTGAGGTTTTGCTGAAGTTAATGCAATCCAGCCAAATCACTGAGTATTTCAGTGTTCTCGTCAACATGGAGATGTCTCTGCATTCCATGGAGGTAGTGAATAGGTAAGCCTGGCTAAGCAGTTTTTGTTACTTTTTTGGAAATGGTAGACAAATTGGTTGTAAAATTTGTGTTGAGAGTTAGGCTAGGTAAGGTTTGTCAGGAAACAAGACAAGTATTTTCTGATGCGTGGTCTCAGTCATATGATAGAACTCTTGGTCATATGACTTACCAGTCCACTCTTTTAAAATTTATGGTTATCATTATTGATAAGCATGTTTAGAGTGCGAGGAACAGTGAGACGAAGATTCGTACAAACACATGTGCTGAGCAGTATGAGGCTGGGAATGCAGGGGCATGGAAATAGGATGAGTGTTAATGTGGCTGATTGTTCTATGACATACAAGGATGGAGGTGGGTGTTAGTATGGACAATTGTGCTACTTAATACAAGGATGGAGATTCATTAGACCAAAAAAGAATACATATTCGCTGAAAGTGATGTCTACGGAAGGTGCTACAGAGGAAAAGAATCAGTTTGGAGGAATTCTGTACTGTGTTAATAGAGGCGGAAAATCAAATAAATAATTGTCCCATCATACATTAGTGAAACTCATGATGGGGATATATTACACCATTCATGCATTTGCTGTCTTGACAAAAAATGTGTTGAAATTGCAGTTCAGATTACTCTCCAGCTGCAGTATCCTTATCCCCTTCCATAGTGCAGACACTGTAATGCGCACCTCCAGGACTCGAGTCCAGCTAACTGATTTACCTGAATCCCTTCATAAATGTTACCTTGCTCATGCTTCAGCAGCACATCATTACGTTAAATGTGGGAAGTTGTGTCTGGAAGATGTGAAGAAAACTGCAGACTTTGGCTTTGGTTCCCAGCAGTATTGGGAGATTACAGATTTCTATATCTAGTGCTGCAGTACATATTCGAATTGTATGACCTTTGAATGGAAGGTGATAGTGTTGTGCTTAGTGGAAGAGAAAGCAACATTTCTCACTTTGTCCAAGCCGAAACTAGAGTCATCAGGGAAATAGCACGCCTTCACCTTTCTCGACACATTACTACTGTGTTGACAATGTAAGGGAGGCAGCAGCTGGCAGGAGATTTGTCTATACATCATCCCATATACCTCATTTATACACTCATTCACTCTTTATCAGTTACCAAAATGTTCAGCAATAATAGAAATACAGCTATAGTAGATACATCACAGTTAAAGGTCTTTATTGTAATAATCTTTCACAATTAGTAGCTTCAGATGCAGGATTTCATTCAGTTTCATGTGGTATAAGGTAGCATTAACCCGTAAATGGTCCAAACGTATATATACGTTTTTTCAACATTTGAAAGTATGTAAAAAAAAGTAGATCTTTTTTTTTATTTTTACATTTGAAAACGTGTAAAAAAAACTTTGATCTACGTTTTTTATTTATATATATATATATATATATATATATATATATATATATATATATATATATATATATATATATATATATATATTATATATATATATATATATATATATATATATATATATTGAAAATATGTAAAAAAAATGTAGATCTATTTTTGGAGCACTACACATATGAACGTAGATCTGCTTGTACCGTTTACGGGTTAAAGGCACTCAGTGTGTGCCCCTCTGGTTGCTCGGCAAACATCAGTGCGATAGTCCAGTTCAGTCCAGATGCATTGCAGCATTTTTGGAGTTATCATGCGAACTGCTTCACTGAAAGAAATTTTCAGTTCCTCCAGGGTTGCAAGTAACGGTGGTATGCAAACTGTGCTCTTTACATATCCCCAAAGAATCTTTATGGATTCCCAGCTTATACACTGACCTGGAGTTTTACAACTCACTCACCATGGGTTCAGACCACACCCGTTTCATGTTTTTTTTTTCTTTCAAGATTCCGAGCTTTTCTCTGCAGTATATCATAAGAAAAGCATAAGTTTTTATGAGATTTTATTCTTTATGATAATGATAATTTATTTCAGCATGATACAATGTTTGTACAAAGGAGAATGACATTTGGATGTACATGCTGAAAGCCCCTTTATATACAGAGCATTTCAGGTGAACTTAAGACTTACTTAAGATTAATAAGACAATAACAATATGAGTAATTTCATACATACAGTCACTCAGGTGAGTGTAATTGTAAATTTAATAGGTAGAGATTTGCCACAAAATAAAAATGAACAGTATATATAGTGAGCATTGGTTTGACAGGTTAACAACAGCTGTGGAGCTGCCGTCAGAATTTGTACACCTGTACATCAGCAACTGCATCAGCACCTGTGAAACTATCAAGGACCGCTATATGCAGAACAGACTGGTCAGACTGGTGTGTGTCTTTCTGCAGTCACTCATACGCAATAAAATTATAAATGTCCAGGTGAGCTGACAGAACTGTCTGGATTGAAGTTTGTTTTTTATTAAGACAACAGCTGTTTCCCACCAAGGTAGGGTGACCCAAAAAAGAAGAAACACTTTTATCATCATTCACTCCATCATGCCAACAGTACAGATAAAAAATTGCAGCATATCTCCACCCCTCTCCATGGGGAAGTGGAACAGAATTCTTCCTCTGTACGCCATGCATGGCGTAAGAGGCGACTAAAATGCCAGGAGCGAGAGACTAGCAACCCCTTCTCCTGTATATATTACTGAAGTTAAAGAGAGAAACTTTTGTTTTTGTTTTTGGGCCGCCCCGCCTCGGTGAGATACGACCAGTGTCCTGAAAGAAGAAAGATCTCCAACCCTCAAAGAACAAAAAGGCACAATACCATAACTAGAACAATATACAGATAACCTGCACATAGGAGAGAGAGAAAAGCTTATGACTATGTTTTGGTCCATCATGGACTGAAACGTCATAATTAGCTTCTCTCTCTCTTCTATGTGCGGGTTATTTGTGTATTACTCCGCCCTCCTTTAGAGTGCAGGCACTCTACCTCCCACCTGTTATCCTTCATTTTCAAAAAATTTGTCAACCCGCCATGGGAGAGGACCTTAGTGATGATATTTTGGTCCATTCTGGAAAAATATCAAGTCAGGATGAAAATAGATACAAATGCAGTATAATGTGATCCTTTATTGACTGCGTTTTGCTCACTGTGTTGGTGAAACATCGTCAAACATTTCCAGTAAAATGTCCTAGTGTTTGTATTTTGTGTCTTTCTCCAACTACACTTTATGTTACATAAATGGACACAGATGCAACTAATGTGACATTTTATTGTGGCAACGTTTCACACTCTAAGAGCTGTGTCAAGCCATTACAAACATTACAAATACATTACATAGAACCATTATTACTAACTATAATTTAGTTAATTCACAAATAACTTTCACATAGGAGAGAGAATTTTACCATGACTTTTTTCTTCTGTGTGCGGGTTATTTGTGTATTGTTCCAGTCATGATATTGTGTCTTTTTGTTCTTTAGTAAGTTATCCATTTTAAAATTGGGTTGACTGAGTACTGTATTTCTGAGTTGGTTTATTTATCTAATATTGAGGGGTCCTGCATTCATTTATTCATGCAAAATGTAGCATTTGTACACCACCTATTTCACAAAAAGTGAACTAAACAGCACCTTAGGTGGGTGGAGCTTACTATTTCACAGTTCACTTATTTCACAGTTCACTTATTTCACAGTTCACTTATTTCACAGTTCATTTATTTCACCTTTCAGTTATTTCACAGTTCATTTATTTCACAGTTTGGCTATTTTACAGTTCAGCTGTTTCACTTAGTTATTTCACAGTTCAGCTATTTAATAATATGGCAATAATTAATCTTCTTGTTACAGGAATTATTCATCGAAGTTCAAGCTTTTTGCATTGAGTTTAGCCGAATCCGCGAAGCGGCCGCTCTCTTTAGGCTGCTCAAGCAGCTAGACTCGGGAGACACGCAGGCAACACAAGAACCAGCAAAGAAGTGAAACCACAGGGTGACTGACTGCCAGTGCTCGAGCAACATATCACATCTCCTGGTGCACGAACCAAGATGACAGGACGCATTACCAACTCGTGCAACTCTTTATCAGGGATATATTCCTTATGTCACTTGTGATTCATTCTTATAAACAGTTTAGTTAATCCTAGGATTAAACATCTGAGATATTATAAAAGTACATCAATCTGACCTCAACATGTTACACACTTAATTATTTAGGGTAATTAGTGGTTTGTATGCTAGAGAACATATGGTTAAGAAAATTGAAATTTTCCATATTATACAGGATTATCATTTTGTCATCTCTCATACTGTACAAAAACATTATATTCATTGTCATTATATTGGATGCTTTTGCAAGTTTTCATTTTTATTCAGTAACACAGTAACACAACTTATAAAGGCAATTTTCGGTGGGGTAATGGTTAACGCTGTTTTTTGTTTTTTAAACGTTGGTGTAATAAAGCCAAAGAAGTTTTTGTAATTTTGCTTTAACTTTGTAATTAATCATCAGATGTCTATGTCAGTGACTTGTAGCTCAGTGGTAACTCATTCAGCTTGCAGCTGAAGGGACTCGTGTTCAATATTGAAGCGAGATGTGTCGGCAAGTCTCCTCGCACCTACTTTTCCCTGTTCACCAAGTAGGTAATAGGTACCTGGGTGTTAGCAGGCTGTTGTGGGTCACATCCTAAAGAAGAGGACCAGTGGACTCCAGTGAAAATATTCCACACTGATTTTTTGGGGATTTCATGAATTTAAATGCCTCTGGTATTAATAATCAAAGACTTTATTCCTTTTAATGTGGCTATTTGACTTACAGCAGAAGAGATGCCTATACTGTCTGGTACCTAGTTACAGTATTGATCAATATTATAGTCCTTACATCACACTGTGAAGACCCATATATGACTGTCGTACACAGTCTTGTTTCCTCAGAACGGTCGACCTGTACTCCATGCAAAGCTAGAAGGCTGCCGTTGGTGGAGACAATTGGCGGAAAGTTGACAAATGGTGAAAAAGACAGGGTTGCAGAGAGAAACTGTATTGAGAAGTTTTGCCAGTGAACACACACTAATATTGATTAAAGAAGTCTGTCTGTAGATGAAGTGTGTTTATAAAGTTCCTCTCTGCAGTTGTGTTGTTTTCACTGCAGTTGATTTTATGTAGCCTTAAGAATATGTACTACTGGTCCTCTGACGTTCCTAATTTCAGTTATTGTCAGTTTATTAATGGAGAATTTTTCTCATTTTAATGTAATCTAATGAAATACTATCTTCATGGTAGAGATGGTTGAATTAAGTCCCATTGAAGGGTGCAGTGATGTTTGTGAAAGGTAGCAATTGTTCCCTTTCTCAGATCAAACCTGATTGTCCTGTTACCCCCATGTGTCCATTTTATCCCTATCATTCATCGTTTTTTTTATCTATGATTCACCTTTTTTTTATTCCTATGTGTTCAGCACCTCAACATCCTCTGAACATAAGCAACTCCTGACCCCTCAGTTATGAGCTTAATCCTGGTGGTAAATAGTATGGTGATACCAACAGGCTGTAGATAAGGACACTTATGTACCAGTTGGGACATTTATTAACGAAAACGTTTCACCTCGAGCAGCAAAACATTTAGTAAATGTTCTGAACTATATATAAGTATTCTTATCCCCACATGAGCTTGGTCCTGTTATCAGGCAGGGTTAATGGGCCATTAGTCTGTGATATTTACTGATCAGGTCATTCACAATGGAAACTGCAAACTTGCTGACTCTTTTTAACTACTGAGTTATTACCTTACAAAATCATACAAGATGGAATGAATAATTTCACACAGCAGAAAACATTATTGCTTTTTTTTTTCTCACTGGCCATCTCTCACCAAGGCAGGGAGACTCGAAAAAGAAGAAATGAAAGTTTCTTCTCTTTACATTTAGTAATTTATACAGGAGAAGGGGTTACTAGCCCCTTCTTCCTGGCATTTTAGTAGTCTCTTATGACACGCATGGCTTACAGAGGAAGGATTTAGTATTGCAGTTATATGTTAAAATGTTTTTAACACATCATCTGTTTCTCACCAAGATACAGTGTTCTGAAAGGATAACACATTTACCATGTATTGAACCGTAACATCACCTGTCCTTCAGAGTGCAGGCACTGTATTTCCCACCTCCAATTGATCTTAAACATGTCTCCATTATGTAACTCCAGCCTCCTCTTTGCTGCAACATTGAAGGATCATCTTCTATTGTATGATTCACCTCATCTTTCATACACACCCAGCTGCCAACACATCCACTCCCAGATATCTGAGTACCTGTATATTAATTACTTTCATAATCCTTCCCTATACTTTGGCTTTTAGGGGGCTTGAATATCCAGCAGGCTTGTGTCAGTAGGTTAGATAAAAATGAAGGGAGACATTGGCAAGGTAACATTTATGAATGGATTCCGGGAAACTGCCTAGCTGGACCTGAGTTCTGGAGGGGAAAGGGTAGTACCTGCACTCTGAAGGAAAGGTGAGGATGGTGCAGACACAAATTGAATGAATGATGATCAGTCTGCTTTCTTCTTTGGGTCACCCCTGCTTTGGTGGGGAAACAGCCAATAAGGTAAAATAAATATGCGACTTAACAGTTTACAACATTTTATTTATAATTATGCAACGATGATCATAATTACTGAACTAGTCGTGCAGGACTCAAAATTCCATTTAATTTTGTTATGACTATATTTTAATGTATGTAAAAATAAAATATGTAAAGTAAAAGGACACAAGTGCAACTAATGTGACATTTATTGTGGCAACGTTTCGCTCTCCAGGAGCTTTATCAAGCCATTACAAACAATACATGGACACAGAGGGTATATAAAGGCTCAGAGTGAGGTGAATACTAGTGAGGTACCATTCCGATGTTCACTAGTGGTAGTAGTAGTAGTAGTAGTGGTAGTGACAAAAGCAATTAATTCGTACATGAGTAAAAGGATATAAAAGCTATTACTTGGGTAACATAAAAATAGGTTGGACAAATATAAACTGGAATGAGGCAGGTTGTTTCAGTGTTCACTCTCTGTGCTTTGTGTAGTATAACAGGAGAGACTATGTGATGGCAGGGTTTACTGTTTTCAGGAGGATTCTTGCTAAGACTTCGGAGATGGTGAAGCTGCCGTTGTTTTGTTTAATTGTATTCGAAACAGCGATCAGTGCTGATTCAAGGCATTTGCGTGTGCGGAAATTAGTTTCTTTTATCACTAATTGGGCGTCTCTGAATTTCATAAGATGATTGGTGGAATTTCGGTGTTGTACACAGGCGTTGTTTAAGTTGTCGTTCCTACATGCGTATATGTGTTCATTGAGGCGGGTGTCGAGGTTTCTTGCTGTTTCACCTACGTAGATCTTGTCACAGCCTCCACAGGGTATAGTGTAAACTCCTGCATTGACTGGTTCGTGGTGCTTGGGTTTTGTCCTGGTTAGATCCTTTATTGAAGTGGTAGAAGCGATGGCGACTCTGGTGTTAGCTTGTGAAAGTACTTTTGAGACGTTTAGTGCAACCTGGCTGTTGGGAAGAATTATAACTTTGTTGGGAGCGGTGTTGATGCGTGGAGAATTGATGATCTGAAGAGCTCTTTTCTTGCAGTCTTTGATGAAAAAAGAAGGAAATTGTAACTCAGTGAATGTTTGGTGAATGTAAGTACATTCCTCGTCAAGAAACTCAGGACTACAAATTCGGTATGCTCTTAGGAAAAACCCGATGATGATGCCTCTTTTGGTCTTGGTATCTTGACTGGAATAGAAGTGTGTGAGATCATTTTTATTGGTGGGTTTCCGATAAACTTGAAATCTTAGGTTGTTGTCTACTTTGTGAATGAGGACGTCGAGGAAAGGTAGCTTGTCATTGGACTCTTCTTCTAGTGTAAACTGAATCGCTGGTTCAACTGCGTTGAGCCTTGCCTGAAGATCCCGTACATCAAAACGTTTTGGAGTTATTACGAGGACATCGTCCACGTAACGTAACCAAGTGACGCTTGAAGGGATGATGTTGGCGAAGTGTTCGGACTCGAGGTGTTCCATGTATAAGTTGGCTAGGACGGCACTTATTGGGGACCCCATTCCCATGCCGTAGGTTTGTTTGTAGAGCTTGTTACTGAAGGAAAAACAGTTGAAGTTAACACAGAGTTCAATCAAGTCAACAAAATCTCCGGGAGGTAAAGGAAGATTAAGGTCCTGGTTGACTTTACGTCGTAGAACCTCGATGGCTTTTTTGGTAGGTACATTTGTGAAGAGGGAAGTCACATCCAAACTGCTTAGTTTCTTGTTACGGATGGAGAGGTTACGGATGCGGTTGAGAAGGTCGCCTGAGTGTTTAAGATGAGCCTTCTGGGTACCATCAGCCCCGCTCATCTTAAACACTCAGGCGACCTTCTCAACCGCATCCGTAACCTCTCCATCCGTAACAAGAAACTAAGCAGTTTGGATGTGACTTCCCTCTTCACAAAAGTACCTACCAAAAAAGCCATCGAGGTTCTACGACGTAAAGTCAACCAGGACCTTAATCTTCCTTTACCTCCCGGAGATTTTGTTGACTTGATTGAACTCTGTGTTAACTTCAACTGTTTTTCCTTCAGTAACAAGCTCTACAAACAAACCTACGGCATGGGAATGGGGTCCCCAATAAGTGCCGTCCTAGCCAACTTATACATGGAACACCTCGAGTCCGAACACTTCGCCAACATCATCCCTTCAAGCGTCACTTGGTTACGTTACGTGGACGATGTCCTCGTAATAACTCCAAAACGTTTTGATGTACGGGATCTTCAGGCAAGGCTCAACGCAGTTGAACCAGCGATTCAGTTTACACTAGAAGAAGAGTCCAATGACAAGCTACCTTTCCTCGACGTCCTCATTCACAAAGTAGACAACAACCTAAGATTTCAAGTTTATCGGAAACCCACCAATAAAAATGATCTCACACACTTCTATTCCAGTCAAGATACCAAGACCAAAAGAGGCATCATCATCGGGTTTTTCCTAAGAGCATACCGAATTTGTAGTCCTGAGTTTCTTGACGAGGAATGTACTTACATTCACCAAACATTCACTGAGTTACAATTTCCTTCTTTTTTCATCAAAGACTGCAAGAAAAGAGCTCTTCAGATCATCAATTCTCCACGCATCAACACCGCTCCCAACAAAGTTATAATTCTTCCAACAGCCAGGTTGCACTAAACGTCTCAAAAGTACTTTCACAAGCTAACACCAGAGTCGCCATCGCTTCTACCACTTCAATAAAGGATCTAACCAGGACAAAACCCAAGCACCACGAACCAGTCAATGCAGGAGTTTACACTATACCCTGTGGAGGCTGTGACAAGATCTACGTAGGTGAAACAGCAAGAAACCTCGACACCCGCCTCAATGAACACATATACGCATGTAGGAACGACAACTTAAACAACGCCTGTGTACAACACCGAAATTCCACCAATCATCTTATGAAATTCAGAGACGCCCAATTAGTGATAAAAGAAACTAATTTCCGCACACGCAAATGCCTTGAATCAGCACTGATCGCTGTTTCGAATACAATTAAACAAAACAACGGCAGCTTCACCATCTCCGAAGTCTTAGCAAGAATCCTCCTGAAAACAGTAAACCCTGCCATCACATAGTCTCTCCTGTTATACTACACAAAGCACAGAGAGTGAACACTGAAACAACCTGCCTCATTCCAGTTTATATTTGTCCAACCTATTTTTATGTTACCCAAGTAATAGCTTTTATATCCTTTTACTCATGTACGAATTAATTGCTTTTGTCACTACCACTACTACTACTACTACTACCACTACCACTAGTGAACATCGGAATGGTACCTCACTAGTATTCACCTCACTCTGAGCCTTTATATACCCTCTGTGTCCATGTATTGTTTGTAATGGCTTGATAAAGCTCCTGGAGAGCGAAACGTTGCCACAATAAATGTCACATTAGTTGCACTTGTGTCCTTTTACTTTACATATTGTCGGTAATTCTACCAACTTTATTACAAAAATAAAATAGATGAGAAGTAGCCTGTGATGTATAATCTTGGTGGCTCATGTAAAAAAGATGAAAAAAATGTACAATTATCAAGTTATTGAATGCTTGAAGTTGCTTCATGTAAAGATTCCAAACTTATGAGTGTTTTGAGTTGTCGCTCCCTTCAGATGTGGTGCCTTGATGCTGGTGAAGGTCTCTTGATTCAGGGAGTTGGAGCTACCTTCCCTTTAGATCAGAGCTGCTTACCCCTATTTCCTCCCAGATCCTCCCAGTCCCCCAGTTTTTACCAGTCCCCAGTCCCCCCAGCCCCAGTCCCCCCAGTCCCAGTCCCCCCAGTCCTCAGTTCTAGTCTTACCCAGTCCCCAGTCCAAGCCTCCAGTCCCTCTCAGTCCACAGTCCTTCCCAGTCCCAGTCCTCCACAGCCCCCAGTCCCAGCCTCTGGTCCCTCTCAGTCCAAGGTCCTTCCCAGTCCCCAGTTCCTCCCAGTCCCCAGTTCCTCCCAGTTCCTCCCAGTCCCCAGTTCCTCCCAGTCCCCAGTTCCTCCCAGTCACCAGGCACTGTAATCTTTATGCATTTATTGCTTCCCCATGAATGTAATAAATCTTCTTTTTTGAATTGCCAAAAATTTGATGTATAAGAAAAAAAATACAAAAGATAGTTATGTTGTACACAAACTTGTTCTGTGGCTCCTCAGTTCACAACTTTGTTTTCTAAATGACATTTTTGTGAGTGTGAATGTGCACATCTTTTGGAAATTTGTAAGTGTTGATGTGTGTTAGTTCATTTGTAAGTGTGAATGTGTTATTTTTATGCATTTGTAAGTGTGAATGTATTATTTTTATGCATTTGTAAGTGTGGATGTGTTATTTTTATGCATTTGTAAGTGTGGATGTGTGTAAGTTCATTTGTAAATGTGGATGTTTGTAGTGTGTAAGTTGGAAATTTAATGTGTGTTGGTCTTATTTTCAACTGATCTTGTTTTATTATAGATCAGTGTGAGAGTGAAGGTGTTCATGTGTGTGTGTGTATATGTGCATGTGTGGTATGTTTTTGTGTATGTGTATATACGTGTGTGTGCGTGCATTCATCCTGCCAGCCTCAGTACATGGCTACTTCTGATAATTTGTGTATTGTGTATTAGTTATCCTTGAGGGAGGTGCCTTTGTGCTATTGATACAAAAAATGGGACTTTATTTCCCCTTCTTGTATCAAACCTGATTACCTCCCATGCCTCAGGCACTGTATGACCCCCTGTGGGTTTAGTGCTTCCACACAAATATTTTATTTGATAGTACAGTGGACCCCCGGTTAACGATATTTTTTCACTCCAGAAGTATGTTCAGGTGCCAGTACTGACCGAATTTGTTCCCATAAGGAATATTGTGAAGTAGATTAGTCCATTTCAGACCCCCAAACATACACGTACAAACGCACTTACATAAATACACTTACATAATTGGTCGCATTCGGAGGTGATCGTTATGCGGGGGTCCACTGTATTATTGTGGGTTAATATTTATTATTAACATTAATGGTGCATTAGCAGCCTGTATTAAAAAAATGCTTATGACAACATTTTGATGGAATGTAAATTAAATGTAGTTTAAAACATTATTGACTATATTATATTTTGTTTAGAGAAAATGTACCAGTCAGGGTATTTTAATGTGACATTGAGATACGTCTTGCATTTGAATATACATTTTAAATATGTATACCTGGGGTATACCTGGAGTATACCTGGAGGGTGTTCTTGGGGTCATGCCCCCACAGCCTGGTCCAGACCAGGCCTCTGTATAAATAAATGAAAAATATAACTCTTATAATATTATATTTGCCTATTATTTGTAGTATTAACATAAATGCTAGTGCTGTTTATATTTAACTGCAATATATATATATTACCTCAAAAATTTATTGTGCATTAAAAACACGAACATGACTTAACATATTCTAGCATACCATAACATATTTAAATCTTGCTGTCACTGTTATTCTGTCTTATTTGTGCCAGATATTTATGTAATTGATGAATTTTGACAATAATTCCATGTTCCTGTCAGATGGTAATAAAAAGAATTACAATTTGTCTGGTGGTTTAATTTTACGAACTTCTCCAAATATAAACCATACCACGGATGGGGCTTGAACTCGCGGTTAGTCATAAAACGCTCTAACTGTGGATGGTTTCTGAAGAGGAAGTTGAAGTGGTTTTTGGAGAGGAAGTTGAAGTGGTTTCTGGAGAAGTTGAAATGGTTTCTGTTGGAGAACTTGGGAACTTGATTGATTTTTCTAATAAGTTCCTTGATGAAGGTGTTGTATGTAGTGTGTTCTTTGTGAATGATAGAGTGGGTAGGGGATGTGTAGATCAAGTGTTTACATTGAAGCATATATGTGAACAGTATTTAGATAAAGGTAGGGAAGTTTTCATTGCATTTATGGATTTAGAAAAGGCATATGATAGAGTGGATAGAGGAGCAATGTGGCAGATGTTGCAAGTATATGGAATAGGTGGTAAGTTACTAAATGCTGTAAAGAGCTTTTATGAGGATAGTGAGGCTCAGGTTAGGGTATGTAGAAGAGAGGGAGAATACTTCCCGGTAAAAGTAGGTCTTAGACAGGGATGTGTAATGTCACCATGGTTGTTTAATATATTTATAGATGGGGTTGTAAAAGAAGTAAATGCTAGGGTGTTCGGGAGAGGGGTGGGATTAAATTATGGGGAATCAAATTCAAAATGGGAACTGACACAGTTACTTTTTGCTGATGATACTGTGCTTATGGGAGATTCTAAAGAAAAATTGCAAAGGTTAGTGGATGAGTTTGAGAATGTGTGTAAAGGTAGAAAGTTGAAAGTGAACATAGAAAAGAGTAAGGTGATGAGGGTATCAAATGATTTAGATAAAGAAAAATTGGATATCAAATTGGGGAGGAGGAGTATGGAAGAAGTGAATGTTTTCAGATATTTGGGAGTTGATGTATCAGCGGATGGATTTATGAAGGATGAGGTTAGTCATAGAATTGATGAGGGAAAAAAGGTGAGTGGTGCGTTGAGGTATATGTGGAGTCAAAAAACGTTATCTATGGAGGCAAAGAAGGGAATGTATGAAAGTATAGTAGTACCAACACTCTTATATGGATGTGAAGCTTGGGTGGTAAATGCAGCAGCGAGGAGATGGTTAGAGGCAGTGGAGATGTCCTGTCTAAGGGCAATGTGTGGTGCAAATATTATGCAGAAAATTAGGAGTGTGGAAATTAGGAGAAGGTGTGGAGTTAATAAAAGCATTAGTCAGAGGGCAGAAGAGGGGTTGTTGAGGTGGTTTGGTCATTTAGAGAGAATGGATCAAAGTAGAATGACATGGAAAGCATATAAATCTATAGGGGCAGGAAGGAGGGGTAGGGGTCGTCCTCGATAGGGTTGGAAAGAGGGGGTAAAGGAGGTTTCGTGGGCAAGGGGCTTGGACTTCCAGCAAGCGTGTTAGGAGTGAATGGAGACGAATGATACTTGGGACCTGACGATCTGTTGGAGTGTGAGCAGGGTAATATTTAGTGAAGGGATTCAGGGAAACCGGTTATTTTTCATATAGTCGGACTTGAGTCCTGGAAATGGGAAGTACAATGCCTGCACTTTAAAGGAGGGGTTTAGGATATTGGCAGTTTGGAGGGACATGTTGTGTATCTTTATACGTATATGCTTCTAAACTGTTGTAGTCTGAGCACCTGCAAAAGCAGTGATAATGTGTAAGTGTGGTGAAAGTGTTGAATGATGAAAGTATTTTCGGGGATTTTCTTTCTTTTTTTTGGATCACCCTGCCTCGGTGGGAGACGACCGACTTGTTGAAATATATATATACGTATATATATATATATATTATATATATATATATATATATATATATATATATATATATATATATATATATATATATATATATATATTGTGTGTGTGTGTGTGTTGTGTGTGTGTGTGTGTGTGCTACCTAACCCTCCACTGCTTGGTGTAAGTGGCATACCCCATGCAGCCTATTATTATTATTATTATTATTATTATTATTATTATTATTATTATTAAGTTTATCCAGGCACAGGTACACAAATAGTTACATGGATTATCATACAAAGCATATATGTTGATTATCCTCCAGGGTGACCCCAAAAATGTCAGTTACCTTGTATGCAACAAAATATATTAAAATGTACTGCTGTATAACCTGTGTCAACACAGAGTAAGAATTAATATTGTCTGCCCAAAATACATGTACCTAGGTATGTTAGAGGCCTTCCTTGTAATTAATATTTTATAATATATAAACCATACATTGTAAGCTTCGTAAGGAAATAAACATTATTATTATTTCCATTAGGGTCCATGTTATCGTTATCATTATTATCGTTATTAGTTGCACTTGTGTCCTTTTACCTAACATTATTATTCTCGTTAATATCGTTATCATTATTATCGCTAATATTGTTATTATCATTATTTTCGTTATCATTATTATCATCGTTATCGTTAATATCGTTTTGTAATTATTATTATCGTTATCATTATTATCACTTATGATTCAGGGGGAAGTGTTAAACCCGTAGGGGAAAGGAAGTGGGGAAAGTATAAGTGGCTTTGGCATGCTGCTTTTATCTGTATTTTTTGTACCTCTGTATGTATGCTCAAATTGTAAATAAATAAATAAATAAAGGAAGGTAAGTTGTGGGGAATGAGGCTTCTAGCAGCGAGGTGCAGTCTGTCTCTCGCTGTGAGGAGGCTGTAGTTGGGGTGGCAGCAACGGCTACCAGCAGTGAGGTGCAGCCCAGCACCTGCTACAAGTGGCGAGTAGTTCACAGTAATGGAAGGCGCATCAGAGTAAGGAAAGTTAAGAGTGAAGATCTGAAGGTAGGAAATCGCTTCTCTGTTCTTCAGGATGAATGTACTTCAGTGGCCAGTGAAGGTAAGGGTACTACTGCCCCTGCTAATGGAGGTAAGCGCATTCTTGTGGTTGGTGACTCTCAGGTAAGATACATTGACCGTGCTTTTTGTAATAGGAATAAGAAGATGAGAGATAGAGTGTGCTTCCCTGGAGCTGGTGTTGGAGACATTGTCAACAGGCTGGATAATATCATGTCAGGTAATGGGAGCAAGCCCATTATCTGTCTCAGTGCTGGTGGAAATGATACTGGGAAGGGTAGGAGAGAAGAGCTGCTAGATAAGTACAGGTCAGCTATAGATTTCATTAAGTCTAAGGGAGGGATCCCAATCATATGTAGCATCTTGCCTAGAAGGGGAGTAGGAAATGAATGGTTGTCTAGGGCAATTGGTGTAAATTGCTGGCTAGACAGATACTGCAAGGAACATGCAATCCCATTCATTGACAACTGGAACAACTTTTATGGCAAACATGATATGTATGCAAGGGATGGGGTACATCTCTCTGGGGCTGGGGTGGTAGCACTTGCAGACTCGATTGAGAAGGCCATTGGTGAAATGCCTATGATTTTAAACTGATGGAAGATAGAGGTATGGGTGTGTGTGGGAAACAAGCAGGTTGCAAACACTTGGGTTGGAAACAGTAAATGTATAAAAAGGCATTCAGCATGAAGTTATAAATAAAGACAATAGATCAGGTCAGCAAACAAAGGGGGACAGCAGAGGGCAGCAAGGGACTAGCTCCCTTAAGGTTTACTATACTAATAGCAGGAGTGTAAGAAATAAGATAGATGAGCTAAGATTAATTGCAAGTGCAGGAGACATAGATATTATTGCTATAACAGAGACCTGGCTCAATCTGAAAGATAGAGAGATGCCCTCTGAATGTCACATACAAGGCTATAAATTATTCCACACTGACAGGGTCAACAGGAAAGGTGGTGGAGTAGCGATGTATGTCAGAGACAATTTAAATTGTTGTGTTAGACAAGATATTAAATTAGAAGCGTCAGCCACTGAATCTGTTTGGTTACAGCTTCTCGAGGGCCGAGAAAAACTAATTTTGGGTGTGATTTACAGGGCCCCAAATCTTGATAGGGAGTGCAGTAAACTTCTATGGGACGAAATTCGTAAGGCATCTACATACGAAAATGTTGTGCTAATGGGAGATTTCAACTATAGACAGATTGACTGGAGCAATTTGACAGGAAATTTAGAGTCAGGTGACTTTCTTGATACGATCCAGGATTGTTTTTTAAAACAGTTTGTGACAGAGCCAACTAGGGGAAATAACCTCCTTGACTTGGTTCTTGCCAGTAGGGAAACACTAATTAATAATCTTGAGGTTAATGATGAGCTTGGGGAAAGTGATCACAAATCACTCAGTTTTAATATATCATGGAATTCCCCTAATAATGGCAATCAAGTCTCCGTCCCTGACTTTCGCTTGGCTGATTTCATAGGACTGAAAAATTACTTAGGTGGGCTGAACTGGAATGACCTGACTAAGGGTCAGGTAGGTGGTGATGGTTGCCGATATGATGCTTTCCAGGGCATAGTTCTAGCTGCTCAGTCAAATTATGTTCCAAATAGGGAAATCAGATCAAACAAAAATGATCCTAAATGGATGAACAATAGATTAAAATATCTGATTGGTCAAAAGAGAGGCATATATAGGCAAATCAAAAGAGGAGAGGGGCAATTGAGAAATCGATATATTCAGTTAAAGAGAGAAATAAAAAAGGGAATTAGAAAAGCAAAAAGAGATTATGAGGTTAAAGTTGCAAGAGAATCGAAGACTAACCCAAAAGGATTCTTTCAGGTATACAGAAGTAAGATCAGGGACAAGATAGGCCCACTCAAAAGTTCCTCGGGTCAGCTCACTGACAGTGATAAGGAAATGTGTAGAATTTTTAACACATACTTCCTCTCAGTTTTTACACAGGAGGATACCAGCGATATTCCAGTAATGATAAATTATGTAGAACAGGACGATAATAAACTGTGTACTATTAGGGTCACAAGTGACATGGTCCTTAGGCAAATAGATAAATTAAAACCTAACAAATCCCCAGGCCCTGATGAACTGTATGCAAGGGTTCTAAAGGAATGTAAAGAGGAGCTTAGCACACCTTTGGCTAATCTTTTCAACATATCACTACAAACTGGCATGGTGCCAGATAAGTGGAAAATGGCAAATGTGATACCTATTTTCAAAACAGGTGACAGGTCCTTAGCTTCGAACTATAGACCAATAAGCCTAACCTCCATAGTGGGAAAATTTATGGAATCAATAATTGCCGAGGCAGTTCGTAGCCACCTTGAAAAGCATAAATTAATCAACGAATCTCAGCATGGTTTTACAAAGGGGCGTTCCTGCCTTACGAATTTATTAACTTTTTTCACTAAGGTATTTGAGGAGGTAGATCATGGTAATGAATATGATATTGTGTATATGGACTTCAGTAAGGCTTTTGACAGGGTCCCACATCAGAGACTATTGAGGAAAAATTAAAGCACATGGAATAGGAGGAGAAATTTTTTCCTGGATAGAGGCATGGTTGACAAATAGGCAGCAGAGAGTTTGCATAAATGGGGAGAAATCAGAGTGGGGAAGTGTCACAAGCGGTGTTCCACAGGGGTCAGTGTTGGGCCCCCTGCTGTTCACAATCTACATAAACGACATAGATGAGGGCATAAAGAGCGACATCGGCAAGTTTGCCGATGACACCAAAATAGGCCGTCGAATTCATTCTGACGAGGACATTCGAGCACTCCAGGAAGATTTGAATAGACTGATGCAGTGGTCGGAGAAGTGGCAGATGCAGTTTAATATAGACAAATGCAAAGTTCTAAATGTTGGACAGGACAATAATCATGCCACATATAAACAAAAATAATGTAGATCTTAATATTACGGATTGCGAAAAAGATTTAGGAGTTCTGGTTAGCAGTAATCTGAAACCAAGACAACAGTGCATAAGTGTTCGCAATAAAGCTAATAGAATCCTTGGCTTCATATCAAGAAGCATAAATAATAGGAGTCCTCAGGTTGTTCTTCAACTCTATACATCCTTGGTTAGGCCTCATTTAGATTATGCTGCACAGTTTTGGTCACCTTATTACAGAATGGATATAAATTCTCTGGAAAATGTACAAAGGAGGATGACAAAGTTGATCCCATGTATCAGAAACCTTCCCTATGAGGATAGACTAAGGGCCCTGAATCTGCACTCTCTAGAAAGACGTAGAATTAGGGGGGATATGATTGAGGTGTATAAATGGAAGACAGGAATAAATAAAGGGGATGTAAATAGTGTGCTGAAAATATCTAGCCTAGACAGGACTCGCAGCAATGGTTTTAAGTTGGAAAAATTCAGATTCAGGAAGGATATAGGAAAGTACTGGTTTGGTAATAGAGTTGTGGATGAGTGGAACAAACTCCCAAGTACCGTTATAGAGGCCAGAACGTTGTGTAGCTTTAAAAATAGGTTGGATAAATACATGAGTGGATGTGGGTGGGTGTGAGTTAGACCTGATAGCTTGTGCTACCAGGTCGGTTGCCGTGTTCCTCCCTTAAGTCAATGTGACCTGACCTGACTAGGTTGGGTGCATTGGCTTAAGCCGGTAGGAGACTTGGACCTGCCTCGCATGGGCCAGTAGGCCTTCTGCAGTGTTCCTTCGTTCTTATGTTCTTATGTTCTAACCAAGTTTGATCCAAGGCAGGGAGGGGCAGCTCACATTCCTGGATTAACAGCACATTCAGCATCAAAAAAAATATTTTTATCTTAAGATAAAACAGCGCTGTATAGCCCTTGTGACTTAGCGCTTCTTTTTGATTATAATAATAATATTAAGATAAAAGATAAAAGAAAAAAAAACGGTTAAAATGGCGGACTTAATAGAGGTTGACTACTTGTCTATTTCAACTCCATTAAGCTGAAGTTTTGTAGGATAAATCTACATGCAGTTTTTTGTAATTTGTTTTATTTAGTTGTTTGTATATTTTTAATTTAGCAGAATTTGTTTTATATAATAGATTTTTTTATAATAATTAGTAAAAATGTGTTGTCTGGCAACTTTCTTGCCAGAGGCTGCCATAAGGTACATTATTTTTTTACTTTATTATTCATATATTAGCATAATTATATATGTTGGCGTAAAACTATTGCATTAAGGACCTTTTGAACTTTTATTTCAATATATTTTATTTAATCTCATTTGCTGAACCAAAAAACAATGGAAGTAAGTCAGGAGCTATGACTCGACCCCTGCAACCACAACGAGGTGAGTATTTTGACTTTTTTTTGGGGTTATTCTAGGTTCTCTAGATATAAGCTTCAATGTATGATAATCTATATAAATTTACTAAATTTGTCTTACAAAAGGACGATCTCAAACCCAATTTTTAAATTTCAATATATTTTTCTAAGTTTATGTATATGGCATAAAAACTAGCATCACGTTAATAAAATGCTACATATTTTCAGTATAATATATAAAATTAGCATATATTATAATACTTCTGTCAAAATTAGCATAAAATTGAACTGAATGTTTATTGTCGTACATCGTGGCAGTGCGGTGGCAGCCATCTTGGCGCCAAGTATTAACGTATATTTTATTTACAATTTTATTCCCATATTTCACGGGTTCCACACACCCCTGAGGTACTCCATGTGTACCACCGCACTTTATTATGGACACACGGTGTTTAAAGCCCGACTGGAGGGTCATTAAAGTCCGTAAATGACCTTAAATATCATCGGCCGTTACATTCGAAACTCAAAAGATAATAAATACGAAAATCAGTGAATTTTGTTTCAGTTGTTTACGAGACGTTGTAGGAGGAGGTTATGTCACTGGGTCAGTCTAATGTTATTGTGTGATTTATAGATATGAACTTTCAGTGTTAAGGATAATTAAGCTGTAAGATTGACATATTAAACGTTATTGCAATAACGCAAACACCGCAGTGAAGATTATATTAAACACCGTTATTGCACTGTAAAGCAGAATTGAACACTTATTGCACTGTAAAGCAGACCTATTGAGCACTGTAAAGCAGACCTATTGAGCACTGTAAAGCAGACCTATTGAGCACTGTAAAGCAGACCTATTGAGCACTGTAAAGCAGACCTATTGAGCACTGTAAAGCAGACCTATTGAGCACTGTAAAGCAGACCTATTGAGCACTGTAAAGCAGACCTATTGAGCACTGTAAAGCAGACCTATTGAGCACTTATTGCACTGTAAAGCAGACTTGTTGAACACGGTTATTGCACTATAAAGCAGTCATATTGAACTGTTACTGCACTGTAAAGCAGACATTGAACACCGTTGTTTGACGGTAAAGCAGACACTGGTGGCTGGGTAGTGCCCTGAGCCCACACACTCAGGGTCCGGGATGAATCCCCGACAAGGGTGAAACATTGGGCATGCTTCCTGATACCTCACCTAATTGTGGTTGCAGGGGTCGAGACTCAGCTCCTGGCCCCGCCTGCTGTTGCTCCTGTTCACTTAGCATCTCCTGGCATCATGAGAGTACCAAAGGATCACATTGAAAAGCCAGACATAATGGCTTTATTGGGTTATAATAGGGGTGGCTTGGTGGCTAAAGCTCTCGCTTCACACGGCGAGGGGTCCGGGTTCGATTCCCGGCGAGGGTAGACACTGGGCGTGTTTCTTTACATCGGTTGTCTATGTTCACCCATCAGTAAAATGGGTACCTGGGTGTTAGTGGACTGGTGTGGGTCGCATCCTGGGACAAAATTGACCTAATTTGAGGGAAATGCTCTTCATAAGAAGGGGCTTTCTATATAGTAGTATGTCATTGATGTCAGCTATGGTATGTATAAGTTGTATCATGTACTGGTAGAAATAAAGATATTATTATTAGAGAGGATCAGATCACAGTAATAGGTACACCAGTGTTAGCTATACAAGAAATTACTCCTCCCTTTCTGTAGACACATTCATTAGGTACCTTTCAGCTCTCTTAACTGGCTAATACATAGTTTGACATATGTGTAAATTACCTAGGATAACCCAGAAAAGTCGGACTAAATGACTTACTTCCATTGGGGTCCTTGTAATATCTTATTATTTAAAGCCTGGCTGTAAGTTATAGAAATCAATCTAGAAGACCTGGTCGCAGGGGCCATTATCTGCAGACACATGTGGGAGAGGAACAAATGTGAATAAGGCAAAATATAAAAGATAAATGTAGTGAAATCAAATGATGTTAGAGTGTTAAGTCAGTGACTTTTTTGGGGGGGTTACCGTTGGTCATTTATACTATGTATGATAATTGTACTTATGTGTACTTATACCTAGTAAGTTTATTCAGGTATAGGTAAACAGATACGGTTATATGAATTATCATATATAGCAGCACATGTTTAGATTACCTTGGATAGCCCAAAAAAGTTACTTATTTCCATTTGTTATGGGAGCATATGGATGTTTGTAAGAACACAATATATAGATTTAGCCTAGGATAATCCTGTGATTTCCATTTGATCTATTTTTGGTGTGATGTGACTGCACGGGCCTGGCTCTCATCTCTTCTAGCCTCAAATAATAATGGAGAAACTCACTCTTGACTTTTTTGGGGGGTTATCCTAGGTAATGTACACTGTATTAAAATTGTACTTAGGTGTAATAAACGTACTTAATCCCCAACTAACAGGCTCACCAGTGAAAACCCACCCCCTTTCCACCCACCATCAACCCCCCTCCACCCACTATCAATCCCCCGTCTCCACCCACCATCAACCCCCCTCTCCACCCACCGTCAACCCCCCTCTCCACCCACCATCAACCCCCCCTCCTCCCGCAATCAGCCCCATCCCCCATCCCCAGCCTTCCTCGTCCAACGATCTTTCCTCCACCATGAACAGGAAGACCGAAGGAAAACAGACATTCCCTATTTAAGTATATATATATATATATATATATATATATAATATATATATATATATATATATATATATATATATATTAATATATTATATATATATATATTATATATATATTACAGACGGTTTACACATTTACGTAAAAGTTGCAAAGACTGATTGTCATGCATTGGTTGTAAAATATGTGGATCGAATTACTTAATAACTAAAGCTGAAAAATTTGTAATGAATGAATCTGCAGAAAGAAGAGTGAGTTACTGTAGTGATAACATAACATTTACTACGTACAATGTTGTGTGGCTTATCTCCTATTAATATTAAGAAGACAATTTATATATGTATACAAACATTTATATGTATATATACTGTATAAGTCAGATTGGTATTGTATAAGAATAATCACTATTTTATAAGTTTAGTTTTAAATTGATTAATTTCGTTACTAAGCTTGATATGGACATTGTTTTACAGCAGTAGCTGTATAAAAGGTATGTGATATCTGGGTACTACACTTACTACTATAAAATCATTATGATACAATTTTTAGATAAAATTTTCTTTATTCGGAACATCTACAATTGATTTTATAGGCCACTGAACATAATTGTATGACGAGTCTAAAGGCATTTACAGTAGATGTAGCCTTGTATTTTATGCCTTCTGTAGATCTTTGTTTTTATTTTTTCAGATGTGAGTGTTGCTTGCTAGGAGTGGAGATGCAGGTACAACAGAGCTCAGCTGAGGTGAGGTACACCCTCACTATTCCTCAGCTCTCCTCGTACAGGCAGCTCAGTCAGACTTTCACCTCAGACTTCCCGTTGTCTGTGAACGGTGTGAGGACTTCCTGGCGCCTCACTCTCACACCCTTCCTCAAAGATAGCGGCTGTGATAGTCATGACCCCATAAACTGTAATGTTGGTCTATCACTAGAGTGTCTCAAGTGTAGCATTTACCTACCTGATATTGAGGTGCATTGTAGTGTAGCGGGCAGAGATCAGCATGAGAAAAAGCTTGCCCGATCTTCTGGTGATGGACTGAAATGGCAAGGAATTCTAGTCACCAGAGTAGCATTACGTGTGTTTAAACTCTTGGAGGATGATGTGTTGACCGCTAACCTACGCTTTGTGGTGTGTGGCAGTGACTTGACTAGAGCAGTGGACTCTCTGGAGAATCTCAGTCGCCAGTTGGTGGAAATACACAAGACTGGTATTTACAGTGATGTTGAAATTGTTACTAGTGATGGTGACAGACTCCCGGCCCACCGTGCAGTGCTGCACGCTCGTTCCAACCTCCTGCAGAAGACTCAGAAGAAACCTGGAAGTGAAAACATCAGCGCGACACCTCTGGCAGATCAAGGGACACCCAAAGGTGAATCTAACCCTCCCAGAACAGAGACTCCGATCAACAGTACTTTTGGGAGCATGTCTTCACAGGGATGCCACTCTGTAACCTTTGTCTCCCCAGATTCCTCCAACAGCAACACCTGCAGGACAGTCCTGACTTCCACAGCCTCCCACACACCCACCAAAGTTACGTTTGCTCAACACGCTACCATTTCACCTGCCAGGTGCCTCTTTAGTCCTAACAAAACACCCAGCAAGCGTGCCTTGACTCCCAACACAGCATCTCCCAGCAAACGACTTCTGACTCATAGCACACCGTCTGGCAAACACACACATACTCCCAGCAATTCATCTGTGCAAGGCGCCCATGTCACCAAGAACGCCAGGACACCCTGTAAGAAACTATACCACAACACTGCAGATTCCAGAGATTACCCCCAGATGCCAGCCACTCTCGACCCCGAGCCATTCTCAGCTGGCTGTGATAGTTACTCTCCCACCAGTGCCTCAAGGACTCCACTGAAGCAACTTGACAATCACCAGTTGAGTGATACAACAACGATATCGAGTATAAAAGTTCACATGTCCGGAACAGTCACGCGGCAGCTTCTGCAATGGATCTACACGGGTAAGAAAAAGTATAAGAACATCAGAATGAATTAACACTGCAGCAGGCCTAATGGCCATGCTAGGCAAGTTCAACTTATACCCTCACCCACTCATGTAACTATCCAGTTTTTTTTTTCTCCCCTCAGGGAAGGTTCCTTGATGTTGGTGAGGGGCTCTTGATTTAGGGAATTGGATCTGTGCTCCAGTTCCCCGAATTACGCCTGAATGCCTTCCACATCCCCCCAGGCGCTGTATAATCCTACGGGTTTAGCGCTTCCCCTTGATTATAATAATAATAATATCCAGTTTTTCTGTATTATTGTCACCCGTTATCATGTATCACAGTGTCATCAGTTATGTTAATTGCTTTCATGATTCTTTTATTACTTAATTACTTTTTCCCAGGTGACTGCTGTGAGCTGGGTCGTCTGGCACGCCCACTGCTGGTAGCTGGTCTACGACACGAGGTGAAGGACCTGTCGTGGGCGTGCGAGGACCACCTGGCAGCCGCCCTCACGCCCACCTCCACACCTGACATGCTGATGCTGGCGCACAAGTATGGTTCCGCTAGACTGCAGGAAGCTGCTCTCCAGTACGCGCTCCACCACGTGCGTGCTCTTTTATTTACATTATCATACCACGTGGCTTCGGCCTTTGTTTACACTGTGACGTCACGTTTTGACAGCATTTGTTTGCATTATACAAATAACCCGCACATAGAAGAGAGGAGCCTACGACGACGTTTCGGTCCGATTTTGACCATTTACAAAATCACACTAACGAAAAGGAGAGCAGGATGGGTATATATAGGCAGGAGGTGGTAGTAGTAGTAGTGGAGGTGGAAGGTGGTAGTAGTAATGGGGAGGTAGTGAGAGGAGCCAGTCAGATACTAAGAAAGAGGAGCACTGCAAGGGAGCTAGGTGCCCACAAAGGGGGTAAAATAAATAAATAAAGAAGGAATAAATACGCAGGGCAGAAGACAACCCTCTTCCCCTTTCCTCTCCTTTTTTGTTTCCTCCTATGGGTTGTCTTTCTTCTGCTTTAATTGTGGGCAAGAGCTTTATTGAGTTTTTATTAATGAACGCTTTACTTGTATATATTCAGTTATACACTGAGTATATATATACACCTTGAGGTGTATATATCATTGTATATACACCGAGAGATTATTTTAAACTAAGTGTCAATGTACAGCAACCGGTTTAGCGCTTAGTCATGATTATAATAATTATATGAAGCCTTAATGATCCACTGGTAAGCGACATCCTTTAAGATTAATATACAAATAGGCAGACAATGGTGATAATTGACGATAATTTGGTTTATAATAACCTGACAGCCAGATAGTGTGGTTTATTTCCCTGTCGACGTGTTTAGGGATATTGACAGTCAGCTATCTTATAAAGCTTAGACCCCTGTGGGTTTAGCATTTAGTTTTGATTGTAATAATAATACTGTAAAGTTCTATTAGGCCTTTTTTATGTGCGTTTGAAAAAAATGGAAATTGAATCAATGATGGGACAGACTTCAGTTTTGAAGGAAAAATTTCAATCTCATTTACCAAAAAAAAAAAATCACTATGGAGCTTTATAAGAGAGCTGATTGTGTCCTCTTTTAAAGTTGTGTAGACTTTGGTGTTGCTCTTGAGTCATATTTGGTCATTTGTAGACGAGGGAATTAAAGGATGTTAGGAAGTCATGTCTGGCTTGCCAAGCCCTGAGTAGAATCAGACTCCATGTGAGATAAAAAATAAAGTTATAACCGTAATTTATGAAAGGGTGAGGGGGGGGGAAGCCAGTGGAAGGCCTCAGTCAGATGACCAAAAACTCCAGCTGTGGGTCATGTTTCCCTCCAGGCAGCCTGCCAAATTATAATAATAACGTATCTTCAAAAAGTCTTCTAGCTCCACCGTTCCCAATGATAGTTACCCCTAAGCTTCCATACAGAAATTCTGGAGCCGCCCCTGGTATGGCCGTATCTAACGTCGACCTCATTACTTCTTAAAATAATGCTCAGCAGTCTGATATTAAATATTCTGTTACTCTTTTTGCACTGTATAGCCCTTGTGGTTTAGCGCTTCTTTTTTATTATAATGTTTCTCTTATTCTGGTCGCTAAACCAATGTACATAGAGAGCAGGCAACCTGGATATTTATAACGATTTCACTGACGTGAAGTGGTATATAGAATCAAAGGCATTATACCAGTTAAGATCATATACAGAGAGAGGTGTATACCTCCCCTTGTATGTTTGCTAAGAAATTAACTTAATTCCTTTTGAAGTCAAAGTCAAAGATTTATTTCCACATGATACTATGTTTGTACAGAGATGGTGACATTTAGTTGTGCATGCATAAAGCGCCTGGTTATGCAGAGCTTTAAAATATTCCTGACTAGTGGTGGTCAAGCTACGTGCAGCCTTGATAACCCTCGTGTATTTCCAAAGGCCTTATCGTTGATGACACTCGTGTACTTCCAAAGGCCTTATCGTTGATGACACTCGTGTACTTCCAAAGGCCTTATCGTTGATGACACTCGTGTACTTCCAAAGGCCTTATCGTTGGTGACACTCGTGTACTTCCAAAGGCCTTATCGTTGATGACACTCGTGTACTTCCAAAGGCCTTATCGTTGATGACACTCGTGTACTTCCAAAGGCCTTATCGTTGATGACACTCGTGTACTTCCAAAGGCCTTATCGTTGATGACATTCGTGTACTTTCAAAGGCCTTATCGTTGAGGACACTCGTGTACTTCCAAAGGCCTTATCGTTGATGACACTCGTGTACTTCCAAAGGCCTTATCGTTGATGACACTCGTGTACTTCCAAAGGCCTTATCGTTGATGACACTCGTGTACTTCCAAAGGCCTTATCGTTGATGACACTCGTGTACTTCCAAAGGCCTTATCCTTGATAACCCTCGTGTACTTCCAAAGGCCTTATCCCTGATAACCCTCGTGTACTTCCAAAGGCCTTATCCTTGATAACCCTCGTGTACTTCCAAAGGCCTTATCCTTGATAACCCTCGTGTACTTCCAAAGGCCTTATTTGATAACCCTCGTGTACTTCCAAAGGCCTTATCCTTGATAACCCTCGTGTACTTTCAAAGGCCTTATCCTTGATAACCCTCGTGTACTTCCAAAGGCCTTATCCTTGATAACCCTCGTGTACTTCCAAAGGCCTTATCCTTGATAACCCTCGTGTACTCCCAAAGGCCTTATCCTTGATAACCCTCGTGTACTTCCAAAGGCCTTATTTGATAACCCTCGTGTACTTCCAAAGGCCTTATCCTTGATAACCCTCGTGTACTTCCAAAGGCCTTATCCTTGATAACCCTCGTGTACTTCCAAAGGCCTTATCCTTGATAACCCTCGTGTACTTCCAAAGGTCTTATCCTTGATAACCCTCGTGTACTTCCAAAGGCCTTATCCTTGATAACCCTCGTGTACTTCCAAAGGCCTTATCCTTGATAACCCTCGTGTACTTCCAAAGGCCTTATCCTTGATAACCCTCGTGTACTCCCAAAGGCCTTATCCTTGATAACCCTCGTGTACTTCCAAAGGCCTTATTTGATAACCCTCGTGTACTTCCAAAGGCCTTATCCTTGATAACCCTCGTGTACTTCCAAAGGCCTTATCCTTGATAACCCTCGTGTACTTCCAAAGGCCTTATCCTTGATAACCCTCGTGTACTCCCAAAGGCCTTATCCTTGATAACCCTCGTGTACTCCCAAAGGCCTTATCCTTGATAACCCTCGTGTACTTCTAAAGGCCTTATCCTTGATAACCCTCGTGTACTTCCAAAGGCCTTATCCATGATAACCCTCGTGTACTTCCAAAGGCCTTATCCATGATAACCCTCGTGTACTTCCAAAGGCCTTATCCTTGATAACCCTCGTGTACTTCCAAAGGCCTTATCCTTGATAACCCTCGTGTACTCCAAAGGCCTTATCCTTGATAACCCTCGTGTACTCCCAAAGGCCTTATCCTTGATAACCCTCGTGTACTCCCAAAGGCCTTATCCTTGATAACCCTCGTGTACTCCCAAAGGCCTTATCCTTGATTAACCCTCGTGTACTTCCAAAGGCCTTATCCTTGATAACCCTCGTGTACTTCCAAAGGCCTTATCCTTGATAACCCTCGTGTACTTCCAAAGGCCTTATCCTTGATAACCCTCGTGTACTTCCAAAGGCCTTATCCTTGATAACCCTCGTGTACTCCCAAAGGCCTTATCCTTGATAACCCTCGTGTACTTCCAAAGGCCTTATCCTTGATAACCCTCGTGTACTTCCAAAGGCCTTATCCTTGATAACCCTCGTGTACTCCCAAAGGCCTTATCCTTGATAACCCTCGTGTACTTCCAAAGGCCTTATCCTTGATAACCCTCGTGTGCTTCCAAAGGCCTTATCCTTGATAACCCTCGTGTACTTCCAAAGGCCTTATCCTTGATAACCCTCGTGTACTTCCAAAGGCCTTATCCTTGATAACCCTCGTGTACTTCCAAAGGCCTTATCCTTGATAACCCTCGTGTACTTCCAAAGGCCTTATCCTTGATAACCCTCGTGTACTTCCAAAGGCCTTATCCTTGATAACCCTCGTGTACTTCCAAAGGCCTTATCCTTGATAACCCTCGTGTACTTCCAAAGGCCTTTATCCTTGATAACCCTCGTGTACTTCCAAAGACAGTAACTTAAAAAAAATACATAAAATAATGATAATGCATTAAGGGTATTTTAAGGGAGGAGAACAAGCGCATCCAAGTACAGAATTGCAATTGTCAAACTCATTTTGACTCTGAGACGCCTCTTAGCGTAAGTGTTCTTGATTAACACAGAAGTTTGAAGTGGTATTAATATTGCACTTATGAAGGAGGGAGGTTACCCGCTGCCTGGAGCACTGATAGAAAACGTAACTGGTGGTATCTAGTAGAAAATTATCTCGAATTAAAATTCCTTTATTTTCAAAACAGAAAATATAATAGTATGTTTTATTAAACAGGAGAGGGTTAAAAAAAATGAGGCTTGAGTGATATATACTTTAAAAGATAAGGCTTATCTGATTGCGTTAAAAGATGAGGCTTGTCTAGTATACCCGATATGCTAGTTGCTGGTCTGATATATTCTTTAAATTATAAGCCTGTCTACTTGCCTAATATGATATGCTCACCCATTAATAACAATAATAATAATAATAATAATATTTTCTGATGTTAATACAACTTGTTTGTTACAGGCAGCAGAGGTGACAGCAGAACCTTCATGGGCGTTGCTAGCTGTGTCAGCCCCTGCCCTCATTGTTGAGTTCTCACGACGCCTGGCCCACCACGCCCACACAAGGAACTAACACCACAACCACACCAACAACTAACACTACAATCACAACAACAACTAGCACCACAACCACAACAAACACCACAACCACACCAACAACTAACACCACAACCACACCAACAACTAACACCACAACCACACCAACAACTAACACCACAACACCACACCAACAACTAACACCACAACCACACCAACAACTAACACCACAACCACACCAACAACTAACACCACAAAAACACCAACAACTAACACCACAACCACACCAACAACTAACACCACAACCACACCAACAACAAACACCACAACCACACCAACAACTAACACCACAACCACACCAACAACACCACAACCACACAACAACAAACACCACAACCACACCAACAACACCACAACCACACAGCAACAAACACCACAACCACACCAACAACTAACACCACAACCACACAAACAACTAAAACCATAACCACACCAACATCAAACACCACAACCACACTAACAACAAACACCACAACCACACTAACAACAAACACCACAACCACACCAACAACTAAAACCACAACCACACTACAACAAACACCACAACCACACCAACAACTAACACCACAACACCATTACAGTATCAGTACGCAGTTACTAATTAACAGGGATAATTTATACCATCATAAGGCTGGTATTATCATTTGTACCATCACCTGCTGACTCTCTCTCAATAGTGGGAGCTTCTCAAGATTACTTGTACTCTGATAAGATGGTCGTCAATGCTATCACCACTGCTCAGAGTACTTGTACTCATGAGTACTCACTAATACGTCCTCTGGAAAGACACACTCAAAACAATGTATTTCAATAATTTCCTAACTAAAACTCACTTATGTCAACTTTGAGTATATTTTACTTCTTCTATGCTATATAACCCTTACAGGTTTAATGCTTGAGTTTAGTATGTGTGTGTGTGTACTCAACTAATTGTAGTTGCAGGGTCCGAGTCACAGTTCCTGGGTGTGTATACACTTCACACACTCCCTCAACTCCCTTATGATGACATATGACACTGTATCGCCCACACGGGTTTGACGCATTTTTGTAAATACTGTATAATATTACCAGTACACACACTCACACACACATATTTAGTATATTTAATATTTAGTGAAGGGATTCAGTTTGGAGGGATATGTTGTGTATCTTTATATGTGTATGCTTCTAGACTGTTGTATTCTGAGCACCTCTGCAAAAACAGTGATAATGTGCGAGTGTGGTGAAAGTGTTGAATGATGATGAAAGTATTTTCTTTTTGGGGATTTTCTTTCTTTTTTGTGTCACCCTGCCTCGGTGGGAGACGGCCGACTTGTTGAAAAAAAAAAAAAATTCAGGGAAACCGGCTATTTTTATATAGCCGGACTTGAGTCCTGGAAATGGGAAGTACAATGCCTGCACTCTAAAGGAGGGGTTTGGGATATTGGCAGTTTGGAGGGATATGTTGTGTATCTTTATGCGTATGTACTTCTAAGCTGTTGTGTTCTGAGCACCTGCAAAAACAGTTGTGTAGGATAACGATTTTATAAAGGGAAAATGCTGGCCACAGATGGCTCACTTCGTCCTGTTCCTATTGTATGTCTCATAACAAAAATGCTTTCAAATGAGCTGATGAGGTACAGCTCTTAGCTTGCCAATAGTTAGGAAACTTAAACCGTAAATAGTGTCAAAAAAGCTAGGGATCCTTTAAACCCTTTTCAACCCTGAGATAAAAAAAAAAAAAAAAAAAAAAAAAAAGAGAAAAGGGGAGAGGAGGAGGAGAGGGAGGAGAGAGAGAGGGGAGGGGAGAGAGAGGAGTGAGGGGAGAATAGAGAGGGGGAGAGAGAGAGAGAGAGGGAGAGGGGAGAGGAGGGGAGAGAGGGAGAGAGAGGTAGAGGGGGGAAATGAGGGAGAGAGAGTGAGAGAGAGAGGGGGGAGAGGAGAGAGAGAGAGGAGAGAGGAGGGGAGAGAGAGAGAGAGAGAGAGAGGAGAGGAGAGAGAGAGAGAGAGAAGGGGGAGAGAGAGAGAGAGAGGAGAGGAGAGAGGGGTGTGTGAGAGAGAGATGAGAGAGAGAGAGGGGAGAGAGAGAGGAAGAGAGAGAGAGAGAGAGAGAGAGAGTGAGAGAGAGTGAGATGAAAATAAAATCTCTGGCCCACAGCTGGCTTCAGCTCCATCTTGTTCAGTATTTGTGTCTCACGACAATTAAAAAGGTTTTCATATGAGCTGATGTAGGTAACAGCTTTTAGATTGTAAATAAAGTTAGGAACCTTAATCTGACTTTGTAAAACACTGCGTAGAGAGAGACAGAGAGACAGAGAGATGTTAGATTGAAGGAGCGACATCAATACAATAATCACATGCATTACAGACAAATTGATAAATAAGACACCTGTCCAATACCTGGGTGTCTTTATTGATAAATAAGACACCTGTCCAATACCTGGGTGTCTTTATTGATAAATAAGACACCTTTCCAATACCTAGGTGTCTTTATTGATAAATAAGACACCTGTCCAACACCTGGGTATCTTTTTTGATAAATAAGACACCTGTCCAACACCTGGGTATCTTTTTTGATAAATAAGACACCTGTCCAATACCTGGGTGTCTTTTTAGATAAATAAGACACCTGTCCAACACCTGGGTATCTTTATTGATGAATGAGACACCTGTCCAATACCTGAGTATCTTTATTGATGAATAAGGCACCTGTGCAACATCTGCGTATCTTTATTGATGAATAAGACACCTGTACAGCACCTGGGTATCTTTACTGACGACTAAGACACCTGTCCAACACCTGGGTATCTTTATTGATGAATACGTTTCGCCCACCAGACTTTATTCAATTCCACATGGAGATGATATACGGTAGAAGTGGAAGATGAGATAATGAAGTGCCTCAGTCACGAGGAAGGTGTACGTTTAGGTAATCAGTCCCTCATCCATGAAGCAGGTGAAGTAGGTTAACGCGTCAGAATGAGATGGAGAGAATACCATGAGATGCATGGGTCGCACACCCATACCTCATGAGCATGCCAGTGGACCCCCGGTTAACGAACTTTTTTCATTCCAGTAGTATGTTCAGGTGCCAGTACTGACCGAATTTTTTCCCATATTGTGAAGTAGATTAGTCCATTTCAGACCCCCACACATACACGTACAAACGCACTTACATAAATACACTTACATAATTGGTCGCATTTGGAGGTGATCGTTAAGCGGGGGTCCACTGATGCATGGGGTCAATTTAAGTTGATGACCCATGGAAATCTGTGTAGCATTTGTAAGAGTGTCAGTGAGAGGAATGGGTTGAGGGGGTTTGTGCCAGTGAAATGGTGGCGACGTGGTATCGTAGATACCACCCGAACCCTGTGAGAGGAATTTGGGTTGATAGTGCAGTGCGAAAATGTTGGCGACGTTGGTATCTTAGGTAACACCGACCCTGGGATGTATGAACACCCTGTGATGCCGCTGTGATCTACATGAAATAAAAATTGTATTAATGTTGCTAGAATAACCTACAATATGTAAGGCAAAAGGACACAAGTGGAACTAATGCGCTATTTTTTGTGGCAACGTTTCGGTCTCAGGAGCTTTGTAACAGCTTGTAAAACTCCTGGAGAGCGAAATGTTACTACAATAAATGGACACATTATTTGCATTTGTGTCCTTTTACTTAACTGAAAATAACTCCCCCGTAAGCATTTGTAATGTTAATGAGCCTTTTATATATTAGTCTTGGTTTAGAAGACACGTAAGCAAACACTATAACATATTTCACGAAAACGTTTCGGTCTTCTGGGACCCTTGAAACGTTTTTCTATTTATATGTTATAGTGGTTTGCTACGTTTTGTCTTACTAAACCAACTTGTCGGTATTTATTACCAAGGTTTAATACCAATAAAATTCTTGTATGTCGTATAAATTGTATTATTGTATAACACTGTATTGTAGTTGTATCGGTGATGTTATTTAAATAAAATTTATAGCGTTTTAGTTGTGTGTTGTGTGTGTGTCCTCTTGTTTTGAATATACTTACCACCTCCATACACTTGTTTTAAGCTTATGTATAAAAATTTTTTTTTTTAATTTTTGCCTTTTTTCTCAAAAAAAAAAAAAAATGTGGGTCCAGAAGCTGTAATAAACACTAGCTAAATAACACATCGGGTGTTATTTAAACACAGGGGTTCAATAAACACCACTTAAATACCAGAACCTGATGTTAGGTAAGGAACAGTTAGGTATCTTTATTTCGAAACGTTTCGCCTACACAGTAGGCTTCTTCAGTCGAGTACAGAAAGGTTGATAGAAGCAGAAGATACTTGAAGACGATGTAATCAGTCCATCACCCTTAAAGTTTTGAGGTGGTCAGTCCCTCATATGCAACCTAACTGTTGCATATGTGTCTTACCTAACAATCTGTCGGTATTTCATACCATTTTAATGTTCAACCAGACCCAGAAGCTGCAACACACAGTTCAACTATGAGACCCAAGAGCTGTAGCATGACACAAGTGTTTAGCAGCTACAGAAGTTATTTAAACATATAACAGTAAAAATGAATGGCTCATGAGCTGTAGGTTTAATTATCTTTGTTAAACTAAGCAACCCAAGAGATATACCTCACAAGGATCAGTTTTAGGCCCTCTCTTGTTCATAATTTACATTAATGACCTTGATGAAGGGATTATTAGTGACATCAGTAAGTTTGCTGATGACACAAAGATAGGCCGTATAATTCACTCTGAGGAGGATATCAATGAACTCCAGGACGATTTGGACAAATTAATGTCTTGGTCTGAAAAATGGCAGATGAAGTTCAATGTGGATAAGTGTAACGCATACTTTGCCCTTGGCTAATGAAAATAACCCTCCGAAGCTATAATCTAGGTGAAAGTAGAGTGGTTCATACAGATTGTGAAAATGACTTGGGAGTCATGGTAAGGCAGAAATCTAAAGCCAGGACAGCAGTGTCTCAGTGTGCGCAACCAAGGCTCAGATACTGGGATTTATCTCAAGAAATATAAGTAACAGGAAGTCACCATATGTTATTTTCAGCTTATACATCACTAGTGAGGCCTCATTTAGAATTATGCTGACTCAGTTTTGGTCTCCTTACTACAGGATGGAAATAGGGACTCATTTAGAGAACACTTCAGAGAAGAAGACTAAAATGATTTACTGTGTTATGGAACCTACCATATGAAGATAGACTTAAAGCCTTAAATCTCCACTCGAGGAGGGACGTAGAAATGAGGGAGATATCATTGAAGTGTATAAGTGGATGACAGGCCATAAACAAGGGAGTATTATAAAAAGTACTGAGGTTGTCGAAACCAGGCTAAGAACCATTAAATAATGGATATAAGTTGGATAAATTTAGATTTAGAAAGGACATAGGTAAGTACTGGTTTTCTAACAGAGTTGTAGATGCGTGGAACAGTCTTCCCAGTGGGGTGGTAGAGGCTAGGACTTTGGGTAGCTTTAAGAAGAGACTGGACAAATATATGAGTGGGAGGGGCTGGGTTTGAATGGTGTCATTGGGTACGGTAGTTAATTCTTGGGTAGCTTTAGGTAGAGGTCGTTTTGATAAGGACCTGCCTCGCATGGGCGAGTAGGCCTTCTGCAGTGTTCTTACATTCTTATGTTCTTATGTTCTTAAGGAAACCGAGTGCTGTAACACACCCTTATACATATACCAATTAAAGGCTAAATTTGCTTACTCGGTTCTGAAACTCTAAGGATACCAAACTCCACATTTCATTTACTCGACTCTTTTTAAAACAAAAGGAATTTCTCAAATCACGGAAAACTTGATCTGAGGAAATGGAGCCCGCCCCGAGGGGGTTCGCCCGAGTTATACCATAGCACGAAAAAAATCTAAATTAAAAAAAACTGTCAAATTTTTTTTATGATGGAAGACTCCTCACCAAAAAAAGTGGCAGCTGCTCTGAGGGAGGGACTGCTCTGGTTTTTTCTACTACTAACATTATGTCATAACACATTACACATATTCTTCAAGGAGGACACCAAAAGGATCATTTTAGAATAATTGAAGCTTTATTTCTGATGATTCTCAACATCTCGAAGCATTGTTAATAAGACGATGAACTCTGCAGCCTTGAAGGGAAGAGATGTATGGGAGGAAATGCAATTTTAATGTTAAGTCAGTAGGAGAGATGGGACTAGAATCACTCACGTCTATCTTGCTGTGATTATTTAGATTGTGTGTGTTTGTAGTGGCTATTTTATTTTCTGTTGCTATGATTATTGATATTGTTAGTGTTTGATGTAGCTATCTTCGCCTGTCTTGCTATGATTAGTAAGTTCATTCAGGTACAGGTACACATAAATACAGTTACATAAATTATCATACATAGCAGCACATGTGTAAATTACCTTGGATAACCAAAAATGTCAGACAAAGTGACTTATTTCCAATGACTATTGGTGATGTGTTTGTTGTGGAATATCTTGTCTATCTTGCTTATGACTTCTCAGTGATGGCCGTTGTGTTTGACGTGGCGTCTCTGGGAGGTTTTAGTGTGGACATAGCAGCACATGTGGTTTTATAATGATTATTAGTGTGGATTTGAACCCCAGCCGTTGTGCTGAGAAACATGAGTGATAGATCAGTCTCTCCTGGACTTTGAGATGTGCCGTCTACTTCTTCAGTATTTCTCTTCAAACACAAGCTTTCTGTAGTTCCCTCTCTCTCTAATAACACTAGTGTATAACCTTGTATTAGGATCTAACCTTCCACCTTAAAATGCTCTGGGAAATGTTAATGGTTGGTACATTAGAACTACACTCTTCACTCTTGTTGATACACCAGTGTCTCCCTCAAGTGCCTTCAGTAAACCCTCAGGGCTCAGGTTATTGTATTTTACTGCAACAAGCATCAGCTCTGAGGATTTTACCACTGGTGAACCCGTGATGTATACAAATATATACATGTATACAGCGAGACAGACGTACCTGTATACTAACTGGAATATTTAAGAATACACTCTCTACAGTTTCGTGAGTTACAGTAACTACCTTGCCTTCCAGCTGCTGCAATACATTTCTGATTAATGCATAACCTAACATGAACAAAAATCAAATTTTTGTCCTTATAAATATATAATACTTAAAAATATATGATTCTGGCCCCGTACTTCAAGTCAGTGTTACAACATACTTCATGGCCTCCAAACCTCGTGCCAGTGTTAAAATACAATATTACAATACATTTACTGGCCTCCATAAATCGTACTAGTGTTGAGATACATTTTCACAATTACTAATCATAGACAATTCTTCGATTTGTTCAAGACATTTTCCATATTATACTCCATTATGATCTCTTCCCCAAGAAAGAGTAGGCCTACAACACGTAACTCAAAAAAAGACAAAATTGAGGCTGGATTCAATACGAAGCTTTTTTTTTTTTTTGGTGTGTGTTGCAAGATTGTTTCTTAGAAGCAAGAAACAGCATTGAAATAGCACCTCCAGTACAAGCGACCATCACCATTGCCACGACGTTGAAGATCCATCTGGAAAAGACAGTAAGAACATAAGAACATAAGAATGTAGGAACACTGCAGAAGGCCTACTGGCCCATACGAGGCAGGTCCTTATCAAAACGACATCTACCTAAAGCTACTCAAGAAATAACTCCCGTACCCCTTAACACCAATCAAACCCAGCCCCTCCCCTCAAACCCAGCCCCTCCCCTCAAACCCAGCCCCTCCCGATTAGGATTACCATTATTAAACTACAACACCCACAGCTGGATGAGTGAGACATTACCACGACGTTGAATATCCATCTGCAGGAGACATTACAATTACCATTATTAAACCAGAAACAAACACATGTGCAACATCTAAGTATCTTTATTGCAATAATAATTAGAATAATGATAATAATAATAATAATAATATAAGAAATGACACTGACCTGGCCAGTATAAGTCCTGCTCCTGTAGAAGGGAGGTGGTGATCGTGTAGAGGCAGGTGACGTGGCTGGGTTATCGTCTAACGCCTTCTGTAGAGCGTACATTAGCTTGTCTAGGACGATAGCTGCTCTCTTCCTGGGCGTTGATACCTGCAGGTGTAGCAGCAGGTGTGTCAGCAGGTGTGTCAGCAGGTGTGGGTGATAATGTGAGAGATAACCGAGCAGTGAGAGAGAGAGACTTTACGAATAGGATGAGAGCGGGAGAGAATGGTCTCTAGAGGGAGATCAGAGACCAGTCTGTGGTCTGGCAGGACACCAGAGACCAGTTTGTGGTCTACCAGGAGATCAGAGACCAGTGTCTGGTAGACCACAGATTGGAGTCTGTAGTCAGGCAGGAGACTAGATATCTGTCTGTGATCTGGCATGAGACGAAAGACCAGTCTATGATCTAGTAAAAGACCAAAGACCAGTCTGCGGTCTAGTAGAAGATCAGAGACCAGTCTGTGGTCTAGTAGGAGACCAGAGAGCAGTCTGTGGTCTAGTAGGAGAGCAGAGACTAGTTTTTGGTCTAGCAGAAGACCAGTCTGTGGTCTGACAAGAGACCAATCTGTAGACTGGTAGGAGGCCAAAGACCAGTTGGTGGTCTGGCATGAGACCAGAGATCACTCTGGGGTCTAATAGGAGACCAGCGACCAGTATGTGGTTTCACAGGAGACCAGAGACCAGTCTGTGGTCTGGCAGGACATCGGAGACCAGTCTGTGGTCTGACAGGAGACCAGAGACCAGTCTGTGGTCTGACAGGAGACCAGAGACCAGTCTGTGGGCTGACAGGAGACCAGAGACCAGTCTGTGGTCTGACAGGAACCTTCAACTTCATATTGAAGGTTGATGACAGGTTGAGTGAACAGTGAGGTCGATCACTATGAACCCAGAGTTGATGATTGTTGATTGTCAAGCCTGTCTTAATATATAGTCTATCACCCTTCTTCCTCTCTCTCTCTCTCTCTCTCTGTCTCTCTCTCTCTCTCTCTCTCTCTCTCTCTCTCTCTCTCTCTCTCTCTCTCTCTCTCTCTCTCTCTCTCTCTCTCTCTCTCTCTCTCTCTCTCTCTCTCTCGCTCGCTCTCTCTCTCTTTATCTTTCTATTTCTCAATTTGGTGTGTCAACCACTATGAAAAAAATAATGAACTTCTAAGCGCTTTCGTGATTTCTCACATTATCAAGGAACTGTAATAGTTGTTTTGTATATTATGATGTAATCTGTTTACACACACACACCACACCACACAACCACACACACACACACACACAACACACACAACACACAAACACACACACACACCACACAACCACACACACACACACCCACACACACACACACACAAACACACACACACCAAACATTATATATATATACCATATATATTTTATATATTATATATATATATATATATATTATATATATATATATTAGATTTATATATATATAATATATTATATATTAAACACATGTGGTTCCATACATCACTGGTGCTACTGGGACATCAAGCAATTTTCCCGTGGATAGAATTGTTAAGATGGGGCAATATTATGTGTGTGGTGTGTGTGTGTGTGTGTGTGTGTGTGTGTGAGTGTGTTGTGTGTGATGTGTGATGTGTGTGTGTGTGTGTGTGTGTGTGTATGATGTGTGTGTGTGTGTGATGTGTGTGTGTGTGTGTGTGTGTGTGTGTGTGTGTGTGTGTGTGTGTGTGTATGTTTGTGTGTGTGTGTGTGTGTGTGTGTGTGTGTGTGTGTGTGTGTGTGTGTGTGTGTGTGTGTGTGTGTGTGTGTGTGTGTGTGTGCGTGTACTCACCTAGTTGTACTCACCTAGTTGAGGTTGCGGCGGGCGAGGTACGAGCTCCTGCCCGCCTCTTCACTGATCGCTACTAGGTCACTCTCCTGAGCCGTTAGCTTTATCATATCCTCTGCTGTAAGCTATGTATGGATCGCATCACTTATCGCTTCCCAAAATATTCCACTACTGACTACTCTGTGCTGAAGAAATACTTCTAACATCACTGTGATTCATCTGTGTCTTCTGCTTCCAACAGTTGCCCCTTGTTACTGTTGTTCCAATCTCTGGAACATCATGTCTTTGTCCACCTTGTCAATTTCCTCTCAGTATTTTGTATGTCGGTATCATGTCCCCTATCTCCTCCTGTCCTCAGTGTCGTCAGGTTGATTTCCCTTAACCTCTCCTCGTAGGACAATATTACCTCTTAGCTCTGGGACTAGTCATTGTTGCAAACCTTGCTCTTTCTCTAGTTTCTTCACGTGGCCCTTGGCTAGTGTGTCGGGTTCAAAACTGGTGCCGCATACTCATATGGGCTAACGTTCCCGGTGTACAAGGGTCTGAATGATTCCTTATTAAGATGCCGGAAGCTGTTTGAGGTTTTGTAGGCGGCCCATATGCTGCAGCATTGTGGCGGTGTGTATGTGGTGATGCTCCTGGTGTAGCTGTGCGCGTGTGTGCTCCTCCGTGACGGTCGTGTGTGCTCGTGCTGCGCGTGTCAGCTCTGCTGTGTGTCGTGTCGCTGACAGTGCTAAGTAGTGTGTGTGTGTGTGAACCCCCCCCCCCTCTGTGTGTGTGCTGTGTCGTGCTGTGGCGTGCATCGCTCGTCGTGTGTGTCGTGTGTCGTGCGTGTTCCCCGCTGTGCTGTGCTCACGCTCCACCTAATTGTCAACCTCACCCCGCTAATTGTCGGTTGCAGGCCGCGTCGAGACTAAGTCCTGGCCCCGCCTCTTCCCACTGCATCGCTACTGGATCTCTCTCTCTCTGCCTTCCTGAGCTTTGTCATACTCTTCTTAAAACTATGTATGGTTCTGCCTCCCACTGACGTCACTTGCTAGATATTACACTTGCTGACAATCTCTATGACTGAAAGAAATACTTCCTAACGTCCCCTGCTGACTAGTCTGAGTCTTAAGGTCCAGTTGTGACCCCTGTCCCTGTGTCCCCTCTATGTGAACATCTATCTCTGTCCACCGTGTCTATTCCCCGACAGTATCTTGTATGTCGTTATCATGTCTCCCCTGACCTTCTGTCCTCCAGTGTGTCAGTCGTTTTCCTTAACCTTCCTCGTACGACATTCCCTTGAGCTCTGGACTAGCCTTGTTGCAAACTTTGTACTTTCTTAATTCTTGACGTGCTTGACAGGGTGTGGGTTCCAGACTGGTGCTGCATACTCCAGTAGGGCTAACCATTACACAGTGTACAAGTGTCTTGAACGATTTCCTTATTTAGGTATCGGAAACGCTATTCTCAGGTTTGCAGGCGCGTATGCTGCACGGTTATTTGGTTGATGTGTGACTCCGGTGATGATGTACTCGGTGTTATGGTCACCCAAGGTCTTCTCCCTGAGTGAGGTCTGTTGTTCTTTGTACACCTAGCCTATTAATCTGTCTGCGGTCTCTTTGCCCCTCCCCAATCTTCATGACATTTGCATTTGGCTGTTGAATTCGAGGGAGCCAGTTACTGGGATCCACATGTCCAGCCTCTCCAGGTCTCTTTGCAGGTCCTGCCTCATCTCGTCCGATTAATTCTTTCTCATCAACTTCCACGTCATCTGCGAACAGGGACACTTCAGAGTCTATTCCTTCCATCTATGTCGTTCACATATATCAAAAATAGCCACTGGTCCTAGAACTGACCCTGTGGGTCCCGTCGTAAAAAGGCGCCCACTGTGATAACCTTTCAGTACCTGACTCGTTGCTTGCCTCCCTGTCAGGTATTCCACTTATCCATTGCAGTGCCCTTCTTTTATGTGTGCCTGATCCTCCCAGCTTCTGCATATTTCTTGTGGGGAACTGGTGTCAAAGGCCTTCCTGCAGTGAGGAAAACGCAATCTACCCAACCCTCTCTCTCGTTCTTACTTCTGATACCTTGTCATAAACTCCAGGATGGTTTGTGATAAAGATTTGCTATCCATGAACCCATGCTGGTTTTCATTTATATTTGTTCCTTTCCAGGTGTTTCGACCACTCTCCTCCTGATATTTCTCCAGACTTGACCACAATCCATGACCCATGCGCACACAGGGTCTGTAGTTTTCGTGCCTCGTTTCTGTTTCCTTTCTTAAATATGGGGCTACATTAGCTGTCTTCCTTTTCTTTTCAGGTAGTTGCCCAGTTTCAAGGAAGTGTTGAAGATGTGGTTAGAGGCACACACAGCATCTCTGTTCCTTCTCGAAGGACCCATGGGGAGATGTTGTCCGGTCCCATCGCCTTTGAGGTGTCAAGAGTCACTTAAGAGCTTCTTCACCTTCCTCCTCAGTTGTTCGTATGTTACTCCAACACTTTGTTGTATATTCCCTCTTGATGTTCCCATCTGTGCTTTCTTCCACATAGCCCTCTGTCTCTATGTAAAAACTTCCTTAAATCTCTGCTTCAGCTCACTCAATACCTCCTGATCATTCCTTGTGAGTTCTCCATCCTTTGTCCTTAATATGATCAAAAAAAACCTGGTCTTTGACTGTTGTCTTCCACCTGATGTGGCTATACAACAGTTTCGGGTCAGTCTTGATCTCGATGCTATGTCATTTTCATACTGTCGCTGGGCCTCCCTCCTTACCTGTGCGTTACTCATTCCTGGCTCTGGCGACTGATTCCCTATTTTCGTGTGTTCTCTGCTTCTGTACTTTTTCCATTCTATATGGCACTTTGTTTTTGATTACTATCTGCTTGCAGCGCGCACTGTACGGGTAATCTCACCACACTAGGAGACTGCAGGAGGAGTGCTGCATTCAGTAGCGTCTAGGCCGTTAGTATACTGGGATAGCCATTGAGGATGGACACTTCGCCGGCAGCACTGGTGGAGACACTACCTTGCTGATGGCTTCCGGTTGACTCGTTGTTGCTACATATTTCCTCATGTCAGGGTTCAAGAAGAGAGCTTCTCACCTGCCAGCGCTTGACTCTGTCCAACTGGCTAAACTCAGTCTCGACTGATAGAGTTCATTGTGCGAGACCCTTTAAGTCCACGTAGGGAGATCCCTTCTGTTTATGTGGACAGGAACTGGATTTCACACATGTTCTGACTGCTGTTTTCTCTCAGCGACTCAACACTTGGAGCAGTCCGTAGGAGAGCTATTGACGGATTTTCAAAGCTCGAAACC